TCCATTTTCTCTTTGTTAGGCATGGTCATCCTTCCTTTAGTTAAAAGAGAACTTTAGATTTGAGGACGAGGACGACTGAAAGTACGAGATTTAACTGACTTTTTATTTGGCGTATTCTCGAAAAATATTCAACCCGGAAAACTTCATTGTACTATTTTTCACCGGAAAAATAAGAGCGGTTATTTTTTAGTCCTTTCCAGGTCGCAAAAAAAGAAAAAAAACTTCTAAAATTTGATAACTTGTTCCCGCCACTGAGACAATCTTGCTAAAACTCGTAGTAGAATGACGAGGGCTATCACGTTTTCCCGACAAAATGACCCTGGTTCACGCGTGAGCAATACTCAGTATTGAGAAAATCTCCTACTCGTAGTCGTTCTCGTCTCAGAATCTAAAGCTCTCTAAAAGCAGGGGGCAGCGTGACTAAGCCTGGCGAACTAGACTAAGGCATCGGTTTTGGTGTTTCGTAAGGTAGTCCCCGAGTTCAACTCCTTGGCCATGTTTGTAAAAAGCTAACTAGTTTGCCCCTTGTCAGTTCGGGAACCATGTCATTTTTCGTTAAGATTAATCGTTTGTGATTATTGAGTAGAACGCCTGTAAACAAGCTGCAATCAAAGTTAAGTGCACCAGTTCCATTATAAAGAAAGTTTTTCCTTCCTCTTCCTCAGTGTAGATATAAAGGTACCCAAGTTTCTTTGTAATTGCGACAACATTTTTCACTTGAATTATCCTTAAGGATAGGGCCTCTGATATCCTTGTTTGCCATGGCCATTGCATGCGGTAACATCAAGCCTTGCCTCGCTGCCTTTGGTGGTGATCAGTTCCGAAAAGATCAGGTTAGTCCAATATAACAGATTAAGCTGACTTTTTGTTGAGCTTGAAGAGAGGACAAAAGGAACAGGTTTTAAATTCTGAAGTTAAAGACTGTCTTTGTAGGTCTCTTCTAGCAGATGCTTATTGGACAATCACAAGCAAAGATATCTAAATATGCAACTGTAGGGTTGCGAGGGCGGATTCTCTATTTTAATAAAACTTGCAAGTTCTTTAGACCGCCGTGATCCGCGCGTCTTTCTCTCAAACTAAGAACAAGATCAGGTCAGTTATGCTAACATTAGCGTCTGAGGAAAAGAGTGTATTCGGTCGAAGCTCTCACTCACCTTTCTTTCAACAGGAACACTTGTTAGAGCTGTTTTTCGCTATGTTCTATGCTTCAGTGAACGTTGGAGCAGTACTCTGCATGTGGTTTATTCCTATGGTTAGAAGTGAGTATGTTCAATCAGTTTTATTTCAGTCCTTATATGCAAGAATTCACCATTGCTGTTAATGTAGATTACACGTGAAAAAAGGCCGCGTTGGAATCGGAGATATAGCCATTTAGAATAGACTGTTTAGAAACTCTTCAGGGAAAAAAAATGATTGATCTCTATGTGCCACACACGAACCCGAAAAAAGAGCTCCTCGATTGGAATGTTCACTCAACGTCTTGTGTCAGTTACACTTTGATATGGAGACTTCCCCCTTGCTATAAGGGTTTGTGTGTTTGTGGATGAGTGACATCGAACAAGCACTTGATTTCAAATGCGCGTGTCCAGGAGGTGGCCTCTCATTGTTAGTTCCTCTCTCTGTGAAAGTACTTAGTGACCATTGTCTCCTTTTTTTTTCTTCTTAGCTGATATACAATGTTTTGGCAGGGATTGTTACCCAGCGGTGTTTGGAATTAACACAGTTCTCATCATTATGGCTACTTGTAAGTTGCCGGAGAGTTTGAATGTCATATCCTTACGACTGAGGTAGAAAGAAACTGTCCGTCCGCGACTGACTCACAGGACGCTATCCTGGCAAGACTTGTATCATACATCAACCTACTAAGTGGCAGTGTGTTTACCATGTTCCCTCCATAGTTCAGAATAGTACACTCTCCTGGTAATCAGGTGGTCATAGTTACGGATCTCATTACGCAACCAACCTTATTCTCTCTCCTATACGCTCGTGACATGAACACTGCATTCCCGACTTCTTATATAATTAAAATTCCATCCTCAACTTTCATTTGGTTAACCAGGTTATATTTGCTCCCCGAGTCACTCAATTGGCTACATGAGATTGAGTAATGCTTGTGAAATCCCCATTAGACGAATGTATCTCGCTCTTTTTTCTTTCCTTCTCAGGCATATTATAACCGAGCGCTTATCTCTAAACTCGTACAAGACACCGTACGTTCAAAATTGTTTGGATTTAACAGAGTCCTGACCTGTTCTAGGGTCTTATATAACTACTTTTTCGTGTTTCTTTTCTAACAGTGTCTATGGTTGGAGGGAAAAGATGGTACACCCTTAAGGATCCAGCTGGCAATGTCATGATACGAGTCTTTAAAATCATTTGGGTAAGACGTCCAACGAATTAAGCTCTTGGAATTTGAAAACCTATCCGCTTTTACGCCCTATTGTCCGTGTAAATATTATTACTGTTTCGTTAAGACTGAAAAACTGAGTTGAGGCGTGATAAGAAGATTAGTTGTCAGCGATGTTCCTTCCCTTCCGCCTTTTTGTAGTCATCACTCAGAGACTTTTCGTAATAAGCCCTGATTCCCCTAGTCGAAAACCTGCATTTAACATAGATTTTTTAGAGTCGCAGATTTGTAACCCTGGATGAACAAAGTTGATTCATCTTGGTATTAATCAATAAATTAATATTACTTATTTATTCATTCATTTTATTTTATTTTGTTGATACATAGTACACAAAATAGAGTGGGTAAGGATATGGAACGTTATATCCTACGGAAGCCTCTTATATTCCTTATTCCGTAGGATTTAAGTCTTATTGTGATAACCTTGCCTTTTATCGCTTCTTTCAGCACGCACTATCCAACAAAGTTACAGGTTCAGGACCTGCTCAATGTAATCACTGGTTAGACAACGCCACTGATGATTACGAGGTACACAGACTCAGCGTTTGAGCGGCATCCTATCAAAAGCCCCGCATGAAGATGCTGCATGCGACGAATCACAAGAAATAAAATGAGTCAGTTAAAACACAAAGGAAAAACTAGCCTTCTAGCGAAGAGACCCTAGTGCGAGCGGCGAGCAAAGCGGAGCGCGAGGGCGTATCTTTTTATGTTCACGTATGACCTTACGATCTTGCGAGTTGTTTTACATTTATAGAGAGCTGGCCACGCCCCTGAGACAAAGAATAGCTTAGCACGACGCTTAGTACAGAAATGCGCACCCGCAACCGCTTGCAGATTGTTGCTTATGCCGCTACTATTGCGTATAAAACACCCTGCGACACTTAAGAAGGAGAGTAACTAATACAAAGGATATCATTGATACTTTTTAGCAAAAGGAAATCAACGACATCAAGCTTCTTCTCCGTGTGCTTAAAATGTACATTCCTCTTCCAGTGTTCTGGGCCCTTTTCCATCAGCAGGTAAATATCTAAAGGGGAATAAATTGTTTCTGATAACGGAGGTAATAATGTCCATAGTAACCATCTTTCTTTTACGGCCAAAGCATCAGTCACAATGAATCCGGCGGGGACTCTGGGCGGAGATGCTCGTTGTCTTGCTTAGGTGTCCAAATTTCAATTCCGCAAATATTTTTACCCTCAGAGGTATCGCTTGAGGATGTAGGTGAAATTATAAACAAAGACGAAAGAAGAGATAAAGCGTTCGGGGATAAAGTCTCATCGATCTTGAAATTACTAGAGCTCGAACGTGGCTGGGACGTCTGGTTTAAAATGTTAGCCATCCCTCACAAAAAAGTGCTTCATGGTTGAAGATTGTAGTTTCTATTTTGTTTATTTGCCACATTCCTCTTCTATTCTCCGAAAATTATTTTAAGCAGAGGTTGAACCTATTTTACTCTTTAAAATGAAAGGAAAAGGTCTTGGAGAAAAAAAGCGCTGTTTAGTTCAAATCAGTGATCAAAACGCCGTGCCTTTTTTCTTTCTTTTAGGGTTCAAGCTGGACTCTTCAAGCTGAGCAAATGGACGGGGATTTGGTGAGATATTTATTTATCTAGCAATTTGCCACACTCCCTTTGCCGCCTTATTTATTTCAGTGACCATACCATAAGTCTACAAAGTGTGTTTGTTTTTTTGTTAGGGTGGATTTACTTTGCGGTCGGATCAAATTCAAGTGAGTATAAGACTGGCTGAATACACAGTTTATCAGCGAAATCAATATTAGCTATAATAAGAATTTACTCGACGAGATAATCTCTCGTGCCGTTTATGAAGCTAATACTTTTTTTTCTCTCTCTCTCGCTCTCTCTCAGGCGTTGAATCCAATTCTTGTCCTCATTCTTATCCCGCTGTATGATGGTGTTATCTATCCCATTTTTGAGCGCTGCCAAATGCCTCTCAGGTATCTATATATTATTAAAAATCGAAATTGATTCAGTATGATGAATGATTACCCCCAAGATCGAATGGAAAACGCGATGAACGGGCCAGAGAACGGAAATTGCCCTTTCTTTAAGTTTCGAAACAAAGTTATTTTTTCCGCGTTCACCGCGGCACTGAACAAGGTGGTCATGGCTAGTCTACTCGGCTGGTCGTTGTTTTGTTGGACAAAACGGGTCTGTTGAGGGAATATAGTCTTTTCCGCATTACGTAATGTTTAAAAGAACTCGGAGGAGTGTATTATCAGGTTAAAGACTCGAGGCGAAGCCGAGAGTTTTTACACCTCGGCCTGATAGTACATGACTGCGAGTTTTTTGAACAGCTTCAAAATCTCTGATGTAGATCAGCTCATTCTAGCACTAATATTCAGATTTGGGGTTATTTTGGCCTAAAAAAATCGGACGTAAAGTTTAGCCGTGCCTTTATCAAATATAAAGACATTCATTAAACATTTAAAATTTCTTTTGTTTATTCTTTATGAATTATCAATGAGTTTTTGAATATGTGAGAAAGTAAGGCTACGACTGTGTTATATTTATCAGGACCCAATAATTTTACCATATTATTAATTAATTTCGGTAAAATTCTCTGTTTCAGTGCCCTGAAAAAAATGACTGGAGGCTTAATACTGGCTGCGATTTCTTTTGTTATTTGCGCTTTTGTCCAGATTCAGATCCAGGTATTGTACGTTTCTCCAAGTGAAGGTAGTGAAGATTTATCGGCCTTCATTTGCTTGATTGCTATCTCAAATTAAAAAAATGTCCTTTAAACATAAACCGTATTAGGAGTTCTTAGATTGTCCCATGGCTTTATCGGTCGCGCTAAATAGCGGATAGAGGTGATAATGACTGCCTTTGATGAAGGAAAACGTTTTGCCAGATAATCTACAACGAAAAAAGACAAATAAAGTGTGTGAATGAAGTGAGATATTGTTAGTCAATGTCTCCAGACTTTTAAACTGTCTGGTCGAAGTTCTTAGTTTTCCTAGTTTATTCGTGATAGTTTAAGAGAATAAAGGTGAAAGTAGGGTTTCTGCTGACAGCTGACGTTTTGCGAGTCAATCTAGCTACAGGAAAACGAGATAACTTCATTATAAATGAAGTGACATAATGTTAGTTTATGTCACTTACTAACAGCATTTCTGTCGATTTTGACTCATAACTCTCAGCGTGGTTACGTGGATGCATGACTCAGTGCCGAGACTCTCAGGCTCAAACCGTGAACTTTTTTTCAGACTATTGGTCAGGGACCTGCATTGCCGGCTGTCAGCCACACCAAGCTGGAATTCATCAACGGCGCTCCATGCCCGGTGTCCATCGATCGACAGTCTTTCTTCATGGTCGACCTCAAATATGGCGAGGTTTGTTCGATGAAAGGTTTTATTCTTTTTATTAATGAGAATGGCTTTAGCTCAGTATCAAAGTTGTCTTTCGATTTTACTGATTTCGTACATTGATATATTACTGGTGAACGATGAAATATCATCTTCATTTACACAGTCACATTCAGTTACAATAAGGGTGTCAGCTCCAGACGCGTACTTGAGTGTTTTACGACAATCAAAACATTCGCTAGTTAAACGTTACGGGGACATTCTCTTCTCGTTGTTATTTTGTGAGCAGATTATTTTAATAATACACATCAAGCAGTCGTTCCTTTTTCCTCAAAGGAAAATAAGCAGATGTTCGGGAAAATTAGCCCTTACTCATCCCCCCTAAAGAGCGGGAGGATCAAAGACCGGACACGATAGACGGCGGAAAACTAGCCTAAAGGTGATGTTACACTGGCAACACAGCGTTGCAATGTTGGAACAATGTTGTAACCATTCGAAACAATGTCGTAACAATGTTGAAACGCTGTGTTGTCGCGAATAACATCACCTTAATCAGTAAGGCACAAGAGCAAACTGTTCAATGCGGCAAGAAAAAACGAAGCAGGAAGAAGCAAGAGGGAGAGTTTCGTCTTGCTCATGGACATTTTCTATAGAAATAGGGGGAGTCTAATATATTTAATTATATTTCGCAACGCAGAGATCTTCCATCTTTGTTGGTCAGTCTGGCTTGGTGAACTTCACAATCACTGTTAACAGCGACAAGTGCAAGGCTCTGGAGAAACGTGTTAGTTTACAGTTGGAGGAGGAGAGTGTTTTTAGTGCTGTGGTAGGAATCGAAAACAATGAGATTATCCTAAACAAGGTATAAATCAGAGCTAATGTGTTGCGTAGTTCACCCGTATGTTATATTTCTTTTTTCATTCTTTTTTCAAAAATGGATGGCCTGCCTCATCTTGTTTTTGTTTTGTCAAATCGTTCAGGAACGCGAACCTAGAAGTATAATATATATAATCGTATTGAATGTCTTTTTTTTTCTTGAACGGCTTCAAAATGTCTGATATAGATCAACTCATTCTTGCGCTAATATTTAGATTTGGGGTTGGTTTAAAAAATGGATGGCCTGCCTCATTTCGTTTTTGTTTTGTCAAATAGGGGTGCGAACCTAATAGCATGATATATATAATCGTATTAAATGTTTTTTTTTTCTTTTTACCTTTTATAGTTTGGAATGAAACTACCAGATATTGACATAAACAAAGCCGAGACTCGAGTAAGGTGTGTGTCATTTACGCCTTTGCGCAAGAATCTAATTAGTTTCTGCTGTACACCGTAAACCCTTTGTAAGCTTCCCCTTTTTGCAGAGAAAGAAAGTTATTTAGCCCCCCCCCCTCATTCTTCACTACCAAAGTTATAAATGATAGATTGTATTAATTGATCAATATTGTAGCACCTCAATTCACGCGCTGGAAGTTCAGACTTTTCTTCTACTGCATGATCTCCAACTTCATTTCCTTGAGCTTTTCCATTTTGCTTTCTGGTTCTATATGGAGAATTGATACCATTTCCTGGTCAGTTTTTGAAAAAGCGGCATAGTTCCTCGTTTTGCGAAATTAAATACCCTCCTCCCCCATTACCATCTTAAATAGGCCCCCTCCTTAAACGTGCTTTAAGGATTTACAGTAATAATGTTCTTCTTATGAATACCAACAGTTATGCGCACAAAACATATTTTATTATAATAACACAGCTCGACTGCATGAAGTCGCACCTTTAAATAATACCATGTAAAAATAACATTGGACCGTAATTATTAGTATTGGCCTTTCTTACTCCCGCTGTGGATGGAAATTTAGTTTTCTTTTGTTCTTTAAGTTCGTTTTTACTTTTTGTTTTCAGAGTGATTTATTCCCGTGGAGATAAGCTGCCTGAGAGAGTGGACGTTGAGCTTAAGTCGGTGATCGATAAAGTGGAACCAACTGTTATCAAAAACGTCGGGTTCGATAATTCATCCTATACCCTGATAGCAACTGGCGAGTAAGTAAAATATTTAAAGAAAGACTTCCGTTTTTTATTAATTAAAGAAGCTGTCTAGCCCTAACCTCTGTCCCTTCTAAGATACAAACCCTGGGACGGGTTTGTCTGGCCTTGAGTTTGTTTGAAACGTGGACTTTCAAATCCGCCGAATTTGACGTTCATGACTAAAATATATTGTTCTTGCTCTTTTGCATTGGATTCGGCAGCATATGTGAATTTTGAAGTTTCAGACGGACCTTAGCAACGCTAGAAGTCTTACAAGCTTGTATAGTTGGTTTTGAAGACCTGTTCGTAAGAAATGATGTCAGAAATACTCTAAGATTGGTGATCAACTTTGTTTTCCTGTTTTGATTTGATTTTTTCCCCACAGATATTATCTAAATACTATTATGGAGGCTGAAAACGGTACCAAGTACCAAGCAATGGTGAGAAAAAACTACTCTTGATTATACTTTCAGCAAAGAATCTTCTCATTGAATGAGAAAGAGAAAATACCGTAGATCAACAATTATTTCAGGCAATCAACCAGGGGCACCCAACGGCAATTTTCGGGAAAATATCTGTTCGGAAGACGATTTGAGATCTAGAATTTTCGGAGCATTTGTTGTAAAATTTCTTGTTTGCCTGCCTCTCCTAGGATTTTCGAACGTCTACAAAATGGTATAATTACCCATTTTTAACGGATTTTGACCCTAAAAAAAGGCCACCTAGAATTTTCGGGAGCCTTTTCCTGGCTAAAATTTTCGAGAAGGTAAGTTTTTATCCCTATAATTTTCGGATCACTAGACTTTCAGCTAGGAAATCCGAACAGATGAAAAGTTTTTAGGGAATAAAAATATGCCTATATCTACCGTTTGAATACTAAAATACGTTCAACAATGCTCTGTTAAGTGGTTTTGAACTATATCCTCGTTGGGTGCCCCTGATCAACTTCTTATGACAAACGCCTGTTTGTTAGGATCGATGGTACCCTACGGGTGCCAGAAGCTCTTCATGCGCGGTTTCCGGCCTAAGGCCGACAGCGAAGCATCCCGCCGCACACGAGGAAAAATCTTCTGGTATGTACCCTGTATACCCAGGGTAGATTAGACTACTCTGGTCTACTCATGACGCAAAGGTTTTATAGCCAAGTCTAACCCTTGTTTTGATTTTTTCTTTCTATTTTTTATGACTAACGCTCAGAATTGTTTAATTACGTCTTCAAGGAGCAGAATAAGAAAATAAAGTTTGGCAACTTTGGTGGCTACACAGTGGTTATACATCCGCCAGAAAATGACCCCAATTCCACGAAGGTAATTTGAGTTACGTGAAAAATTTTTTGCTATACAAGGATTTTAATGAAGACCTGTGATCTTGTCTCCGTTCTTTTAGTTCGAGACATCGATGTACGAGGATGCCCCTGGAACGGCTGTGTCTCGCCTATTGCAGGTTCCTCAGTACGTAGTACTGACCGCAGCTGAGGTGATGTTCTCCGTCACTGGTTTGGGATTTGCCTACTCACAGGTGGGCTTTAAATTTAAAAAGTTAATTTTACTTGCAACTTAGTTGCATATATACAGTAGCGACAGGTGATGATCGTGGGACGACGATTATCTTTGGTGTCCCAAGCAGGATTAGATAAAAATTAAAGAAGTGACGACTTCCTTGGTAAAAGCTAGAACAACCTCAGAAAGGTAGAACTGTCCAAATAAGGGTGGAACGGACAGGTGAAGCCCTTTCATAAGATAAATTACAGCCCCGCCCACCTCTTGTGGAGGCTCGTCTAAAGAATCGGGAATAGCAAATCGAAGGCGCTTTACCATGTGATCAAATTCGCGGTTCTATTTTGTACCATGTGACGTGCTTGTGAGTTTGAAAGGGAAACCTCCCTCGGAGAGTTGAGGATTTCTACAAAGAAAGAGTAGATGCCTGTCATGAAGGGCGGACTTAAGCTTGCTGAACTCATATTTTTTAGGCTCCCTCAAGCATGAAGTCTGTTCTGCAGTCCTTCTGGCTGTTAACTGTTGCTTTTGGTGATCTTATCGTCGTCATTCTAGCCTCGGTCATGCCTGCTTTAGGAGTGGTAAGTAACTTGATTTTCTCTGCAATGAACTCCCTAGAATTCCCATTCGAGTCTTTCGCTACCTAATACTAAACTCCTTCCCCTCATAAGTACACTATTTACAAGACTACCCACCCTTACGCGTTTCGTAAGACGTATTAAGCGAAAACAGACCAAACAATGACACAACGTTTTAACAGGAGACGAAACAGGACATGCATCTCAGTTGACATCAGCTGTCCAATTTCCCACTGAATTTATCAAAGATGGACCACACTACGGGGTCTACGTCTGCCTAACTTCTTCAAACAGCAGTGTGGTTTCTTTTACGCCCCGTAAGAGTCCAGTCTGAACGGTGAAAGCCCGTGAGAAGGCGCCTTCAGTTTTTCGTCCTCATCCGAACGATTAGAATGTCTTTGAACCATTTGCAGATGTCAGGGTAAATTGTTTCAAGGCCCTGAGCGTTGGCGAGGCTGGGAATCATCAACCTTACAATAGACCCCCGGCCGGGCCTGTTGCCAACCTCGTTCCCAGGGATTTTCCCCTTAGAAAAAAATCCCGCCCCTCCCATAATAGCCTTGGGACGAGATTGGCCTGTTGCGCTAAAACCTGGTACCCAGCCAATGAAGTTCAGTCTAATACTAGGTAGCCTTCGTTCAAAACAGCTTCTATATGACACGTGACTCACCTTCACACTTGAAATGTTATCGACGATATGATCTAAAGGGGGAAACAAAAACAAATTACTAAGGTACCGTAACATGACACCATAATATCTCTTTTGTTTTTGTTTGGCTATTACAGGAAAAAGAGATGTTTCTGTATGGCGGTTTAATGGGAGTCATCGCCATTATTTTTGGAATAATGTCGTACTTCTATAAGTACGTTACGCCTGAGGAACTTGGAGAAGTAGATAAAGACGAGGAAAAGAAAAATCTTGAAGTGAACGGAATTCCACTTGAAGATCGTTCAGACAACACCAAAGTATAATTCAGTCTCGCTGAGGACCAAAGATTGCTTCGCGTTTTCTTTTTTTTTAAAAAAGTGATATGTACAACTCCTTTCGCGTCCTCGTTCAGATAAAACCTTTTTTTATACACTTCCACAGCATACCTTTTTTACTAATGTTGAAAAACGAAGATGATTTCACTGAATCGATAATTGAGGACTTTTCGTCAAACTTCATGGCGTGGGCGACCCTATCGGCAATATAAATAGCCCAACACTGTTTTGACGGCAGCCCTCTCTTGAATTTGCTTGTATGTTTTTTGTTCGAGGAAATAGAGACAAAATATTTTCACTGGTATGATGATCCTCTCTTTTTACGCAAAATTGTGGCCTTAGGGTAAATAGCCTGCTCCACAGCCGTTCTTTGTGTCGTCACGTAACGAGGAGGGAGGAACGCTGCGTGATGACACAAAGAACGGCTGTGTAGCGGACGCTTCGTGAACTCTTTTTACCTCGCATCAAGACGGATATGGCGAAGTGTCTTTGGACCAAACTTTCTCAGACATGGTTTATTAGCACCGGTCCGGGGTGCAAGGTATATACATTTACTATTGTAATAGGTTAAAAATAATCAAGAAAAGGGTATAATTTGTAGTAAAACAAGTGTACGTTCTAGACCTTTTTGTTACATTTTATATGTATATTGTCTAAGATGTAGCTTACAATAATTCGTTTTTCTGTCATGAGGACGAACGATTAGTTTTTTCAGAAGAGTAGCACCGTGATTTTATCACATGTAAACCATAAAGTCACACTGTAGTAGACCGAAAACACGATATTTTGTGCAGAGAGTAATTTGAAATCTTAAGCTCAGACACTGTTGTAACTTTTGAACTCGATTATGACGCTGGTAATTGGTAAATAAATAATATTTTTTTAAATATTGTTGATTACTTAAAAAAAGAGGTGGTTAGTACCTGATTTCGCGGGAAAACCATTTGTGGCGTCGCAAAATGTCAAAAAGTTTTCTTTCTATGGTCAAAATTTGTCTCTAGACATCATGAGGCATTTTTTCTCATGACCATCCATATCTTCCCTTTTAGACGGTTTTCGGCCCTTTAGTACGGGTTTGGGTAAAACGAATTTTGCAACACCAAAGGTATATTTTCCTGCTAATCAGATGTTTGAGTTTCTTGTGCATGCGCGTATGCCAAAATGTGGTCCTTTTTTTGCTAACCTATTTCGATATTTCTCTCTCCCTCTCCTTTTTCTCTTTTCCTTCCTTTTTATAGCCAGTTTTTTTTGCCCACTTTATCTTCTGTATTTCGCATGGAATTGTGACTGCCTAACCCTCAGGAAATGGATAAATTTCATCTGCAAAGAGCATCAGATGAATAGCAAAATTGCCAGTGGATTTCCATAAAATGTTACTAGGTTTTTTGCAACTCTTTCAGGATTGGTCAAAATTTGCAAAATGAGATCCATCCTGGCTGATTTCGCTCCTTATCAACTTAGTGGCTTAAACTGAAGGCTGAATGAGTCCAGGAAGGATAATATGCATCGTTCCATACATGAGAGGGTTCCATATGGAGAGAAAACGACCAGAAGAGCCGTCAAGGGGTTAAGATCTCTACTTTCGTCATCCTCGGAGACCCAGGGGCTCATAGTGGGGGCGAGGGAAAGTCTAAACGGGTGGAAAAATAAGGCACGAAGAAAAGTAAAGAACGGCGAGAAGAGCCCCTGGGGACAAAGTCTTAACAGACCAGTTCCAAACGGTCGCCGCCGTTCTGGCTTCTGATTGGTGCCAGAAAACTTGTGTTTTTCTGGCACCAATCAGAAGCCAGAACGGCGGCGACCGTTTGGAACTGGTCTGGTAAGACATTAGGGCCATTTATACGAGGAAAAATAAGACGCGTCGTACATAAGACGCCTCTTAAATAAGACGCGAACTTTCCGTATAAACGGCACATTTCGTCTAAAATAAGATGCGGCTTAGCTATGACGCGTCTTATTAGATAAGACATGCTCGTATAAATGGTACAGTTCGCGTCTTATTTAAGACGCGTCTTATTTTTCCTCGTATAAATGGCCCTATTGTCCCCAGGGGCCCTTCTGGCCGTTCTTTACTTTTCTTTTGTGCCATATTTTCCCGCCTGTTTTATAGACTTTCCCTCGCCCCCACTATGTGCCCCTGGGTCTCCGAGGATGTACTTTCGTGAACAGGACTAAAAAACAATTTTCCTGGCGATAATGCACCATGCTCGGTGTTGAAGAGACTGTGCCCCTGGGTCTCCGAGGATGTACTTTCGTGAACAGGACTAAAAAACAATTTTCCTGGCGATAATGCACCATGCTCGGTGTTGAAGAGACTTGTAAAGTTTACAATCTATTTTTAAATTTAATTTGTTGAAATCTTATTCTTATTGTTCTTTCGTATTTTGCCTTAATCCACCAATGGACCATTTATTTGACAAACTAACACAAAGTAATTTACTTAGTTTGAATTCATTTTGATTGGCTCGGTGGTTGAAGGTCAAATATGTTAAACAAGCAAATGATAGTCTAAACAAATCATAAAGCCTAGGAAATTTTTCAGTAACTAGAACGGACTCAGGTTTTAAAATCTTTATTCCGTTAGTTTTCCGGGAGATATTCTTAGGGGCTTGTGGTCAGCGCGGTTGTGAATACACATTGGAAATCAAGGATGAGAAAACCGAAACAAAGATATCGTACAACACTCATCCTAGCGACAGCCATTACGTTAGTTGGCATAGCCTGCTTAATAACGGGTGTCGTTTTGCTTGTAAAGAGAAATAATTCCGTCAATTGTGAGACAACGGAAGGTAGCGAAAAGGAAAAGAGTCGCGACAAGAAGGTGGAAAGATGCGCTTTCTCGGTTGAAGCAAAGCGGTGTGGCCTGGATGTATTTCTGCAAAAGGTTTTCGACACAACCTATGAATTACATCCGTTTTTAATCTCAATTAAGCCCAAAGTGAGTGCAGAAGAAGTTAAGATGAAGTATAAAGCGTATGATCCAAGTCCTTCCAACCTTAAGCACGTAACAGACAAGGCAAAAAGCCTTCTTGAAGAGCTTACAAGAAAGGAAATCAACGAGAAAAAGCTTAACTTGAGAGAAAGAAAAGCTTTGGCGCAATTAAGGCATTTCTTAAAACATGTTTTTGGAACACCATTTGACGGGAATTACTACTTTGGTGACTTTCTTTTGGGGCCGAATGTGTTCTGCTGGCAGCACATATGCAGTGTTGGGAGCTCATTGCAGCAAAGCCTGGGTTTTTTCAAACCTGCCGACGCGAGTGGATTGGAAGTTCTCATCGAGAAGTTAGCAGAAGTAGATAAGACATTCAAGACTTACACCGATAACTTAAAATACGGGGTAAAGGCGGGAATGGTGCGTAGCGAAGAAGAATGCGTAGCCGGTCTTGATGCAATAAAAAGGCACTTTTTTAGCATTTCAGTTGACGGACCTGAAGGTTTGTAAATATATTTCACGTTTTGCAGATCCTATTAATCAGAGCATAATTCTTTCGTTTCTAACTCGTTTTATTCGCTTGTTGGTCAGCTTTTTTGCCTTCACCCGATTTAATAAGGCCATAATATACTCCGAGCTTCTGTTTCGTTTTTAAAGTGAGTTGAATATCCCAACTCTGAAAGAAAAGTAATTCCGTTCAGATGGAAAAGGGTCTATTTGTTGATTATTCAAATGTAGAAATTTTTTCAAGATACTGAAGCGAGTTTATGAGGATTATAATGTCACGTTTAGTGACATAAAACTGTCATAAGAGGTCCATTATATCAGAACGCTGTATCATTAAACACGTTTAATTAGTTTTATTACAATCTAGAAAAATCAACTTCACGTCTTTGGTTAAAAAAGTTTCTATTCATCACCGACAAGGCATTTTGAGTGGGCTACAGTACACTGCGTTTTATTTCTTTATCAGTGTGTTTCTTCTTCACGTGTTCAAAACTTGACAAACCAAAATAAAACAATCGGGCAGTTCGCTTTAGAGCAGTCTTTATCATTATAAATATTTAAACAAGTAAACGAAAGCAACGCAGCTTTTTTTCAGAAAATATTATCAAAGGGCAGTATAAAAAAAGAAAATAATAAGCGCTAACAAAAGACCATAAAAAAATATCAACTTTCATTTTGTCAGGCTATATTCCCTTACTCTACCCTGGTAAAATCGTATATTCTATAAGAAAGACTGTAGCAAAGAATAACTCGCTTGACCGCACTTTTGTAAGATTTGAATATAATTCAGTTCTTTTTATGAATTATCTCCAAGAGGATAAGGTTTATAATTACCTCCATGCTTAATTTAACCGAGGATTTTATCAGGTTTTAGCCTGTGAACAGGCCTTTGGTCGAGCGGGGAAAGAGAGCCTGTTCACAGGCTAATCAGGTTTAAAAGGTCTCGGCTTCGCCTCGAGTTTTTAAACCTGATAATACACGACTGCGAGTTTTTTGAACAGCTTCAAAATCTCTAATATGGATCAACTCATTCTTGCACTAATATTTAGATTTGGGGTTATTTTGGTCTAAAAAATAGGTGGTAAAGTTTAGCCGTGTCTTTTTCAAATATAAAGACACTCGTCTAACTTTAATTTATTTTGTTTTCTCTTTATGAATTATTAATGAGTTTTGAAATACTCCTGTACCCCGACTAACAGTCCTCTCAGTTAACAGTTTTGCTCGTGCCATAGTATGTCTACTACAAAAAAATTGAAAATTCTCTGTTACAGCTTACGGTCTTCAAGTTCGTTTTTTAAAACGAGAGACCGTAACTGGCTGAAAAATATGGCATTGTCGGTGCAAGGTATGTAGAACAATCAAAGTAGTTACTTAGGCGCAGATCACTAGAAAAAACGTGACCGTTTTCTGCTAACGTCATAACGTACAGGCTTCAATTCTCCGCTCTCTCCGTCCTTCCCAATAAGGGCAGGACAAAGCGCAGGGTCATTTCCGCAACAGCGGCTGATAGACGATCCTACATAACTTACAGTTTTCTTTTGTAATCGAAAGTCTGACAGTTTTTCTTAAAGCAACGACTTTTCGTAAATCTACGCCTGGTTAAATGCACCACAGATAGCACTTTCAATAACGTTGGTTTTGTGTCAAGTTTTGTCTCTGCCATTCACCTGAAGCCTTAAAACATGATTCAAAGCCTTATATCAAGGTACATATTCTCAACAGGTGCAGAAACATATATGTTTTAGTTCTCACTGCATATATAATGAGCGCATCTCGGAAACATGACTGCGTTCTACCAATCCCAGAGTTCCTGGTAATCGGGTTCGATCATGATCCTTTGCGGTCTTCTGCCATACATTTAGGCATCGTGGTGCAAAATCTCGCAGGTTTGACGGGATTGCGTGCAGGAAGCGCTTGTCGCCCCTCCCACCTTCTCCGGTGGCGATGACCACATCAGCCTCGCTGCATATCTTTTCCTAGGTAGTCGTGGATTCCTCCCGAAACTTAGTCTACCATGATACGACAAAGATGTGCAGTGAGGATAAATTACTACTTAATGCTTTAAACTTCTGTATTTTCAATCGAATCATGTCTGTTACGCTTTCTCTTAATGACGCAGGTGTTTTCAACGAGTCATTCATGCAACACATCTTAAGACCAGACTTTCTAGTCATGCTGGAACACAATACAGAACAGATGGACAAGTGGAAAACAAAGCACCAAGGAAAGACACCTTCTCAATCTCTCCGCGAGAGCATCCTGGATCATGTCGGGTGGCCAATTTACACCTTTTTAAGGTAACGTTTAGTTGTGTTGGTGAATGTAGCTAGCCAAACCTCTGCCATTTTGAAAGCGGGTAGATAATCCATGTTGACCAATCACAGCTCTAAGCAACTGCACCTTGCAGGGGAAAAACAAGTGAGAGCAAGTTGCAGTCGGTTTCTCATTATATTAGGGCCTGATTGGTTGGATAGGTGGCGGGAAAGTTTGAGCCAATCACCGGTAAGCTAGTTTTCATACTGTATTAATGTACAGATCAATTGTACACGTTTGCTTTCTGCACTTGCGGCACCGATTAAAAGACGTGTGACAAATTACCGTAAAATTCCGAAAATAAGCCCCGGGGCTTATATTTTTCAAAGGCCCTTTTGGAGGGGCTTATTTTTGGAGGGGCCTATATTCGGAGGGGCTTATGTACTGAGGGAAATTTGCGTTTCAAAATCGATTGGGCTAGCTTGCAGTGGGAAGGAAATTTACCATGTTTTCGTTGTTTTACTTTGTATTCGAGGGCAATTTCCAAGTACAAGCCCACCAGGGGGCTTATATTCTGAGGGGCGATTTAACGCAGGGTTTTTTGCATTACAGTTTTGGGGGGTTATATTTGGTGGGGCCAGGAGCCCTTACTTTAGTAATTTTACGGTACCACTTCTAATTGCTATCAGGTACCTGGAAGAGGACCACATTCAGTATTGTGTGCCCAGCAGTGTTTCAAGTGGCCTGTCGTCTCTTCCAGTCTCCTATGTGTATGTCAACGGAAGTGCAAACATTTCTCAGACAACCACTAAAGTGCTACCGTTTGGTGAGCCATTAAATGGATCCACGGCTTATATGGAGCTTCTTTCGTTTTTTACCACGACAAACAGTACCCCGGATGAGGTGTACAACCTTGGTTATGATATGCTTCGTAAGCTATACCCAGAGGTAACATCATTATTATAGAGAACCTAGGCTTAATATTACGAGCAACATTTTTCGTACAACACGAAGAGTTACAATGTTGACGGAGTGGAAGTTAAGACTGTTTGAGTTTGTCGTATCCCTTCCATCTCTAGCAATAACCGCCTCCTTAGATTATACTGTAGATGATAGGGTGCCAGTCTTCTGAGCTGGAAGTCGCATGTTTAAACCTCAGCAGTCAAACTACCAACCAGGGTTTGGTAAGGTAAGAACATGCTGGCTTTGATTAAGATCTTCTCTCAGTACAGGTAATCGCGACACTGGGCAGTTACATTAAGCCTTTGGTTTTGTCTACATCTATCATGAGGCCTAGGGATTAGGCAATATCATGAGTCATTTCTAAACAACACCAAGCGGGCGTTAAGACAGCAGGGAACGTTAACCCTGGCGATGTGAGTGCGTGGGTGTTAGGGGAACAAGACTGTTGTCCACAGTAATGGCTAGGCAGCCGTTTTGTGGCCCGTGAGCCTCGTCTGAACCACGCTAAACTATAATACCACAACATGATCTAAACTTGACCAAGCAACACTGCCGCGCCACAAAATGCGCAAAAATGTTGGTTTCCCGTCCATTAGCTGGGTAGTAGCTACTTAAGGACATAGTTTGTATAAATTGCCTTAACCATTATTATTAATTCTCAGGCACTAGAAGTAGCCCACGAACTCACTGGTCCAAACAACACCGACGTCACAGCAAAGGATGAATTTATGAAGCTGTTGAACGATTCAAACATGTTCTTCAATAAAAAGTCGTTCCCTCAAAACGAATCCGACAAGAATGCTTTTAAGCTATGCAGCTCTGTTGAAAAGGCTGAGAAATTTTGTCCAAAACGTTGGCGGGCCATTCAAGAGTGGTTTAAAGAGACAAGAGAGGTAATTGAAACAAATTTGAATACTCCACATGAAAATCAGATAGTGTAGTAACCATGGCAAAAAATATATATCCAAGTATCACATGATAACAAGTATGATGTATTATATGAAGGTACTCTCACATCCAATTACAGGTTATGAGCATGCTAGATCCCAAAACATCACAGATGTTCTACTTCACCGGAGAGAAAAACACAGCTCCAAACTGTCCAGTAGAACTGATGCCGAATTTCAACCCTTCTGCCGGCGTTCCTAGTTATCTGGGAAGCGATAAAGCCTGTAGTAGAACTGCCATATACAAAATTCCTTTCTTTCTGGAATGGCTTGGGCCTCGTTATATGCAGTGGAGTGTTAACGCTCACGAAGCAAGGCCTGGGCACCACACGCAGGTGAGCTCTATGTCATCCTGATCCGGGTACCTGACGTACGTGGGATCATTCCGATTTTCAAGTGAATTTTCCCGCCTTTATCATCATGATCTTGTTCTAGCGATGCAACATATAATAATAGGCATCTTCCGGGGTGAATGAGGAGAACTTTTATTTAACCATCTTATTCTGAGAGTTGAAAAAATTCAAGAAACTAGGTGGGTTGTGCTAAAAGAGACGAAACTTTGGCTAATAGAATAGCCTGCAGAGCAGGAGTTTTTTAACGAAAACTCGGAGGTACATTGATCGTGGCCGCCATCTTGAAAAGCAACGAAAAAGACTAAGGGGGAGGGGCGGTGGAAGGGGGGAGGGGCGGGAAGGAGACAGGAGAAAACCCCCCTCCCCTATTTTAAACCCATCTACCTCTCCCTTAAAAACACTTTTTGACTCGTCCCAACTCTCTGGTAGTATTAACGTCCAAGCTGGCGGGACAACGTCATTCCTGAAAACAATTCAAGGACCCGCTCCAAAATACGCCTGCTTTGCAGGCTACTAATAGAACGACTAACGTGACGTCTTCCTGTCCTCCCTTATGAGACACACCTATGAATAAAAGAAAAAAGTCCCGTCACTTTACGTTCTGCATAGACTGTATACACAAGAGCTTATGATCGTGAGACTTAACAGTCGTTGCAAACCAGCAAAGATATGCAGACACTTCACACGATAAAACAAACCAGGTACTAAAACATTTTGCATATTAAAGTGTCGCTTTAAGTGAAGATAAGTAGTTTGCATCAGAGAGCTAAAAAGTGGAAGAGCAAGCAGTATGAGACAGATTTTATTGTCGAGGACTGGCCAGTAACGAGCCTTCCACTTAAATCTTCTTTTTCCGAACATCTTGCATAGCTGCCGTGTTTGTCGTTTTTATCAGGTACAGGGTCTTACAGAGCACTTTCAAGACACATGCGGAGGAGTAATTGGCTGGTTGTCGTCAGTGACGTTCTACACAGCATTTATCGAGGGCTGGGCGTTATATGCGGAGAACCCCCTTATTGCTTATGATACCGACACTTACAAAGATGAGCCGCTATACAAATATGGCATGCTGAAGTCCCAGGTACAGCCAACGAATTCATTCATGTAAATCTTTTCAAACCGATCATACCTCCTCTAGTTACTTAGACTTAACAAGAGGAACAGCTGGGAGAAGGGCTTTAGTAAAACTACGAATAAGCAATCACAAACTCATGATAGAAATAGGCAGATACAATCAAACTACGAAGGATAATAGGCATTGCCCTATTCGTGGATGCAATGTAATAGAAGACGAAGTTCACTTTCTTTTTCAATGTCCTACATACTCTATGATTAGGAACAAATTGTACTATAAAGTCAAGACTCTGATTCTACCCATGTACCTATAAACGTTTTGATCAATGAACTGATGAACCCCTCTAATTACTTTATCAATATACAATTCATAAAATATATTTCAGCTTGTTTTGATGTTCGTGACAAATTATTATCAAAGTAACGTAATTACCCTGTGTTGTAATTTTGATCGCTAAACATAGCTTTTGCAATACTGTATGTGTTTGTATGGTCATGCAAATAAAGCTCGTTGTTGTTGTTGTAAAATACTTCAAGACCTAAGGAAGTCATTAGGGGCCTAAAAGCATTTTGTTGTTGTTTCACAGCTATGGCGGGCACTTCGCTTGATTGTAGACACTGGATTACACTACAAGGGCATGACACGTGAGAAATCATTGAGGTTGTTCCAGAAATACTTGTGGGATAACAGCGATGTCGCTATAAAAGAAGTGACAAGGTATCAGAGTGTACCAGGACAAGCGACATCTTACATGATTGGCCAATTACACATCATGAAATTAAGAGAATACGCGAAGAAAAAACTGGGAAAGGAGTTCAATTTGAAAGACTTTCACTTTCAGGTGTTATTCCAAGGATCGGCACCACTGAGTTTTCTGCAGCAAAGCATTGAGGAATATGTAGATTGTACGCTTAATAAGAACAAGGAGGGTTGTGATGAAGTTCTTGACCCGCTCTTTAAAGATTCTCAAGATAGTGTTGGCAAAAACGATGAGATAGATACAATTGATTCGACACAAAGAGAACTGTACTTTTAGACTCCTTCAAACCCTTCTGCTAAGCTATCAAAATCAAGAATAGCCTGTTCCAAGCGTTCAGATAGTGGAGAGCGGTGTGGAGTAGAGAAAGCGATGAAAAGTAGAGGGGGTCGCTTTTACTTTTTCGCGCTCCTTTTTACTTCGCACCGCTCCCCACTATCTGAACGCCTGGAACAGGCTAAATCAAGAATAAACTTAGCCTGAGAAAACAGCCGACATTTTGCGATGCCCCCACTGATTTCCCCTGAGGACAACGAGAGCAGAAAATTCCATACTGTTGACGTGCCCTACCCAGATCTGGGTAATACATGCTTCTAATTGGTTCGTTGAGGTAAATTTCCCTCGAGGCATCCTCTATTTTCTCAGGTTATAGAACAAACTGTTCATGAAATGTCATTTGTGACTAGTCCCAGGCCCTTAGATAGTAAACCAAGACCTGGTGGACGTAAAATTCTATTCCACGAATATGCTGCAAAACTAATCAATCCCGAAAATCCCTCCGTTCCTCACGAAATTCGTACTTTGGCACAGGGCTGCAAAGCTTGGAAGAGCATGGAGGTCGACTGTTGGCACCATCGGGAACATGAGCGCCTCAGCCGAGCAGGGAGAGAGATAGTCGCGACATAGGAGAGAGACCGTCCCCCTTGCATGTATCTCGTCGCCCATTTCAAAAGCCCCGTTTGCATTTTTCTCTATCCGTTTTTCGCATCTATTTGAGAACTCGAAACAGGCTTATATTTACAAATTATAAGAGTTGTTGCACTTTTAGCAGGCTGCTGCTGAAGTTAATCTGTTTACGCTACACTACGAGTAACACTATCGCAAGGATGCTTCACCCTCGGCAGGGAGACGAAACTGGAGGCGTCAGAAAAAGTCTTTATACCTTTACAACATTGGTGTATATGTTTTATTCTAGATTACCGGTATGTTGAATAAGTGTAAGAAGAGGGAGAAGCTCGTTTAGGGAATACATCCTCCTTGATTTTAAAAATTAATTTCAGTTTTAAAAATTTATTTAAATTTTTAGTTTTTCTTTATTTTTAAAAATTATCGGTTATTGCTTAGTATTCTGATGCATCCTAAGTTAAGAAAGATTACTTAAGAATAGACCTCCAAGCAACAATTGAAAATACTCCCGAAATCCTTTAGAAAAAAACTACTCACATTTTCCTCCGTTAGTTTCCGCCCTGGGAACCCTTGTGTTTGAAATCTTTAGTGATCTTCGGTAACCAAAACAACTCACAAAGAAATTACTTTAAAAATTAAAGGCTACAAGAGAATAACATATTCACAAAAACACCTTTTGTTTTCGAAAAACTTAATTTTACAATGTAACAAGGGAAACCATTTAAAACTATTCAGTTGTTCTGTGTTTAATGAACGGAATGGAAACAAATCAGTCCCATTGGACCATTGGAGGTTGTTTCTTCCTAAGGTTCTTTTAAAGTAGAACTTAAATAATTAAAACTACTGGTGGGCCGCAGTAAAAGAAAAATAAAGAAATGGATGTCTTTTAAGCTGGGCCAATTCTAAATCACGGGGGGGGGTACTCCTGGGAATTTTTGGGGGGGGTGTGCTGTCCGATTCTCCAAATCCTGACCCTATTTTAGACTAAAAAATGTCATTTATCACAATCGTTTTCAGACCTGGCCTTTGAGAATTTATATCACCATGATCATTACTTAGATTAGAACACCAACAAAAAAGATTTCTTAAAATCCATTTCTTTCTCACTCATTTGGAACTGAAATGATAAATTCGTTTATACACTCATCCTGTAGTTCCCTCAAAAATCATACCCGATTCCAGACCAAAATGGGCAAAGTGTATAACCGTTTTCAGACCAAAACGGCCCAAAGACCCTACCCTTTGGGATGGCACATACCTGTATGGTTCATGTAAGGAGTACCCCCGGTTTTTAAATCAAGCTCTGTTCAGCCGGTGTATTCCAAGAACGATCCGAAATTTGGGTCACCAGTAACATGAACTCAGTTTATATGTGCGGTTTCTGATCATCACCGTATGCCGTAGTAATAGTGGTGATAATTCAGTTTTGTTTAGCCAGTAACTTCTTAATTTGTCAAGGTTATCAATAAACACAGTCTGCCTGTGCTCCTAATTACCATTACTGTTACGCAGGTAGTACTATTGAGAAAAAAATAATGATAAGCGCTAAGCTAAATTCAGTTTTCAGTATGTGCGCCTTAATAATGATAGCAAAAAAGTGAACGAATTTACTTTTAAATAAGCTAAATTGTACTTTCGCTCTCGGTTCAGCCTTTGCATTTGTAGTTCATTCTTGGGTCTTTCTCCTGCCTATTATAGTAATTACTAAGTATTGCCGTTCTGCGGCATTATGAAAAAAATATAATGAATGACTTTTGAACTAACTTTACTGTAGTCAGTGTGTTTTTAGTCCTATCCAATCAACAGCTCAATAAGCCTCGTATATTGTTCTCGCATAGACCAGTCTCCCTGTCCGTCCCCACTCAGACTTTCTGAGAGAAGATGAACTGCACCTGCAACTTCGAAAACAATTAACATTCAGATCCTTTAATTACATGGACGGTTGCGTCGCTGCCGAAACACATAATCCTCACCAAGCACACATTTTTCACTGCACGTTCTAATTATAAACCGCCTCCGAGACAGTAAATATTCCCGAGTACAGCTTGTTAATACTCGACGCCAATAAAACATTGGCACTGTTTGTTGGCTGGTCAAAATATCACACCGACAGTAAGTAGCGGGTAAGTACACACCGATGCAGTAAGTGATAAATGCTAATCCGCCGGCGGTGTTCAATCGTCGGTTTTAAAAACACAAAACTGAATCGAATTCGGTAATTCAAGATCGTGCCCAGTACGCAGCACTGCGGAGAAGAAACATTTACGACTTCAGTCTTCAATAACATCTCCACGTAAAAATTTATTTTTTTCTCTTTTATTAGCTGTTCGGCAAAAGAAGAAGGGTTCACTTAAATAATAACTACACGTACTGAATTCTCCAAGTGAATTCTGGTGAAAGCATCATATTGTCTGTTTTACCTCTCGAATTGCGGATGGATTTGCTCTCTCATTTTAAGAAATTAACTCTACTATCAAAAATATTAAATTATGATTTTGAATAAGAGTGACTGTTGATTGGCCTTAAAATCAGTCAGAGTAATTTTATCCCTAAAAGTAACGTTTTGTAGCTATGGAAACGCTAACGAATTAGACAGATCACCCTAAGGTTATCCCAAGTTGCACTTGGCAAATTTTTATCCTTAAAAGATTAACATGCCGGATTGTCTGCTATACAAGAATCCGAAGACAGCAGAACTGAATTTAACCGGTTGGTAATGATACAATATCCTTCCACCGCTGTAATCGTCAATATTCGATATACGTAGTAACAACGTTCAAAACGTTTTGTGCATTTCCGTCTCTTATTTGCATAAAAATCCGACAAGTATCTGCAAAAAGATTAAGCAGATTTTATCCATCTGTTAAAAGGTCTGCCTTTGGGCGACATGAAATGAATGCTTTCAGAATAAGGCTGTCATGAATTGTGGCTAAATATCTGTGCGGTTTTTCACCCTTACTTATTCGAATTAAAAGTGGTCCTTCGAGGAATTTCACAACACCAGTGATTGTTAAATAGTAAAAGCAACTGAATACGAGCATAAGATTGCATGCTCCGTCTGGTCTGAGAGACTGGATGATTATGCAATCAGGATTCGAATCAGTATTTGTGGGTGTGTCTGGGGAAAATACCAGAGGAGCAAGGTTGGTACTGAAGTATGGAACAACAAATAAAAACTGCCAAGACGATGAGAAAATACTTTCAAAGGCAATCCTCATTTCACAGTTATACAATCCTCATTATTACCTGAATTGCTGGTTTTCTTTGGTGAATCATAATTCCGGTAGAGTATACGTCAAACAAGTATAGAGTCAGTATAGACTGGCTACTTAAAAATGCGTGGCAATATTTAGTGTTCTCCATCAATCAGTATGCTCGAAGAACTGTAGTTTAGTACTAACCGACCTTTCTTTTGGTTATAAACGAAAACCTGAGTGTGTAATGAACATGGAAAGGTTCTCTATTCTCCCAACGATCTAGACAGGTTTATGACGCTGGTAACCCATGCCTGCAAATCCTACAAAGACGTTTCTATGGCTCATCAAATCCCTTGCAGAGGATCACAGCTCTTATTAAATCAGTCATGTCAAAGTTCGAAACAATATAATTTGAAAAATACAAATACAAATACAAAGGATGGAAGTTAATAGAGTTGTAACTCGGAGTTTCACACACTAAGCGACAATCAGACTAAAAATTCTGAAAACAGATTTTGGTGAAATATTTTCAAGTATATAAAAAAACAGACTTCAAGTGTGTTTAGGATAGTCAAAGACAGTAGTATAAACTAAGGCCCCACCCACCTATCCATTTTTGTTTGAAAACAAAGATTTTTTTCCTCCGTTTTCATAAAACTCTGCGTCTACACTGTGCGTCAGTTTTTAAATTGTTTCTGCCCGTCCATACGAAACAATGGTGACTCAATCTCGTACCTCGAGTCTTCGTCCCTTACTGCGCCTGCTGGCTTGACGATACCGCTGGTCAAGGGGAACGAACACGCTGGGTACGAGGGTGATGGTGACTGAAAATGGTACCATATGGGAGAATGCGCATTTACTAGTATCTAACACCGCGACTTAATCGAGAGTACAGCAAAACGGAGTTTTCAGGAAAGATGCGTTTTCGGTAATTGTTTTCACCGGATACCGTAATGTGGAGGCGGCCTTATGCGGTTCGTGTTTTTGGCGAAGAAATACCTGAGTCTTTGACTCCTGTTCAGTGTAAATGCGCCCTTAAGGATGTGGTTAAATTAGGAAACACGTGCTGCGGAAGGAAGAACGTTTTAAACTTGATTAAATAGAGTTTTCTCGCTGGGGGAAAGCAATATCTGCGTCCGCAACATCTGTTTCTCATGCGGCTAAGGATTTGCGACCGGATTCGAATACCTGTGTTGGCCATGTCGGATCAGTTGGCTTGAATTTAGTGTTTCAAGTCTTATTACTTTCTACCACGTAAGACTCCGGCTGCAGGGATCATAAGCATCTCTCTTATGTTTCATTTACATTTCACGTATAAGACTATTTCACAACTCATTTTTAAAAAACTTCGTTGCCGTGATCTGCCATCAGATCGTTACGTTAATAATCGAAGAGTACAAAGATCGTTAAGGTGAATTGCTTTAAAGCAAAAACGTGAATGAACAGAACTAATATCGACGTTAATTAACGAGTTTTGATTTTCATTCAAAAGGTAAAAGAAAATTGCGTCTCTTTAATTGTGTTCATCACCTGCTTACAATTATCACCGCCATAAGAAAAATTGTATAATTTTCTTCTCCCTATGCAAAGCTTCATAAAGCAACAATGAAAAGCCTCGCGAAAGTCGTAATTAAACATAAAATGATATAGAATCTGAAGGAAAAAGAATCAGTCGTGCATTAAGTGAAAGAACAAACTGAATGCGCTTTTCCCAAGACAGGAAAGTGTCACTTGTGTGGCAAGTGAGTGAGAAAGGCACGGGAAAAATCAAGCAGCTCAGCCAGTCAGTCTCGCTCGATTCTCCACTTTACAAGATTGTTAATCCCGCCATAGGTGCTCTTGTAATTAATTTTTTTATTACCTTGGTCAGGAGGAGAGTAAGTGCAAAATGAAAAAGTCAACACGAAACTAAACCGACATGACATCCGTTTTTGCAGTCTACGTGCTAAGTATTGTCTGTTGAAAAATCTTGGTCATGTTTCTCATAACTGGGCACACTGAAAAACGGCCCTATCATAGTTAAATCGCAAAAAGATCGAAATGGGATTCTGATGTATCTTTTGAGCCTCTGTAATCTCGATAATATGGAACAACAGCAAAATTTTGGGGAACGACGGTTTTTTCTTACTACCTCCAATTACCATACTGACTTGACATTTGCATTGTAAAAATCAGATTCCGTGCTCACATCTCGTATTTGTTCGACGACAAAACAGTGAAAATTTTAACCACCCCCTTCCGCTTTTTGATGAACTTGTCTCGTGAGAGCTTTATTAGGTGCAAAAGCCCAAAAAGAACAACTTTTTTTGTCTTGAATATATGTCTGAGCGTGTAGAAACTAGGCTGGTTAAGTGTTACAAAAGTAAACAACTACAACTAAGGATTTTCATTTGCATCTCAAACAGTGCCATCTCAGCTCAATCAAAAGAAACTCTGGTAAACAAATCTTTTCAATGAGAGCCAGGGGCCTTTGTTTGCCGTCGCCACAGCAACGGCTCTTAAGGAACGACCAGGTGGTGACGTCTTGATAATAATTATATCCACCGGACGGTCGTATTTGATAAAAAAGGTAAATGTTATTGCCGTTACAGTAGTCTGTATGTTGTATTGTTTAATTCAGGTGCGATAACAACGCGTCGAACTTGATGTCCTGAAGGCTAAAACCAGCAAAACACAGCGTGAGACGACCGAGTGACCAGATTGCCTGTGTTGGCTGTATATTAACTCACTTGCTGCACAACACAGACCGGACACTAGCTAGCAATGCGGAGGCATTATGTTGTTTTATAATTATGATAACTTCAAGATCAGAAGCCGGGATACTCGACACAGGGCCGCCAATGGCAAATTTATCGAAGGTTATGCTTCGTTTCGTGCCAGTTATCGATCCAGTAAATCAGGCTGACTGTGTACTTTTTGTTCGGGGTTTGAATTTAACAGAGTAAAAGCTACAGTTGTAGCTTGTGCCGTTGTCATTAACGATGGTTTACTACTTCACCAATTACTCTAGAGGATACGTCGTTGAATTTGAGCCACCGTGCTTCAAAAGCTGGCTTCTATTGCCAGCAGAAAACTTATGGAACGAAGGCCTTCGTGGATTTTTGTATACAGTGGCCATGCTGTACTTATTCTTAGGGATCGCGATAATAGCAGATATATTTATGAGCTGCATAGAAGTAATAACAAGTAAAAAACGAAAAGTGACACGCTACGATCCAGAGAAGCAGGAGCGAGTTGAGATTGAAGTTTTTGTGTGGAATGAAACTGTGGCCAATCTAACCCTTATGGCGTTAGGTTCTTCAGCCCCTGAAATTCTGCTGGCTGTGGTAGAGACGGCGCAAAATCTTGGTAATGAACCCGACGCAACACAAGAGGATAAGGACGGTCTTGGTACATTTACGATAATTGGTTCTGCTTCATTTAATCTCCTTCTTATCACAGCGATTTGCGTGGTAAGTGTCCCGAGTGGGACAGTTAAAAAGATCCGCGAATTTGGTGTATTTATTGTGACCTCTGCTTGGTCGCTCTTCGCCTATGTCTGGCTACTAGTTGTTCTAAAGTGGAGTTCTCCGGACGAGATCGAACTATGGGAAGCATTTGTTACTTTGAGCTTTTTTCCTCTTCTTGTCGTCACGTCATGGTGTCAGGATAACGGTTGGTGGTGCAAGAGAGGACGAATCTTGAGCGTTGAAGCTCCTGAAGTGAGTACATTCAAACAATTGTAATTAAACCGCATTGTCTTTGTCAATTAGTAAACACGGGTCAACTCAGTTGTTGGGATTGATTGGGGGAAAAATCCAGTTTATTTCCTACGTGCCTAAAAGCATCGCTGCAATGAACAAGGGTTGTTGTGTAGCTGGTGTAGCGCACGTGCCCTGGTGATCATTTGAATAAAATCATTTGCAAAGCTATCTACTTTCTAATGTATTTATTATGTAAACATCTTCTCTTGTGTGCATTAAGAATTTTGTTCAAAAAGATGCCTGTTACTCACAATGTTTCAAATTGCAGGAAATACCTGAACCAGAAAGGTCGTAGGTTTAACGGTTTCTGCGTGAAGCTAGTTCCGCTACACAACTATCGCAACCAAGATTTTAAGTTTTCCGTGATCTAAACCTCACAAAGTATTTTACCGATAAATGTTTTGTAAATGTTTGTGTTAATTTGCAAGCGTAAAATCCTTGACTTTCTATCCCATCAAGTATCTTGTCAAGGCACGGCTAAGAAATTAAAATCTGTTCACTTTGTGCATAGTTTTGACATTTTCCGCCCGTAGCATCGCCAATACAGCCGTCTTTCCTAGCCCCTCGCCGCTAGGAACGTTTCTTCAGGGGCACCCAACGTCAATTTTCGGAAAATGTCTGTTCGGAAGACGATTTGAGACGTAGAATTTTCGGAACATTTGTTGTAAAATTTCTTGCTTTCCTGCCTCTCCTAGGATTTTCGAACATCTAGAAAATGGTACAATTGCCCATTTTTAACCGATTTTTACACTAAAAAGGTCAACTAGAATTTTCGGGAGCCTTTTTTTTTGGCTGAAATTTTCGAAAAGGTAAGTTTTAATCCCTATAATTTTCGGATCACTAGACTTTCAGCTAGGAAATCCGAACAGATGAAAAATTTTTAGCGAATAAAAATATGCCTATATCTACCGTTTAAATACTAAAATACGTTTAACAATGCTATGTTTAAGCGGTTTTGAACTATATTCTCGTTGGGTGCCCCCGTTTCTTGGGAAGAGTCTGTCAGCCGCAAAAAGTCCCTAGCGGACTGAGTTGCCTGACTGTCAAACCAACTTAATACACGGCGAGCTGTATCTTCAGTAATTACAGAGAGGAAAAGGAGAATTGCCAAAAAATATAACATTGACTACTGACATTAAAATCTTGACTAACGAACACATCATTGACGGGTTTGTTGTCTACTGCTATTACACTGTTACACAACCTCGCCCGGGAACACAATACTCCTCGCTATAAATTTTTTCCTGGAGCTGATACAGAAAATTTAAAATCTATGGCAAATTACCATATTACCTGCCTATTTTAGCTGTCAACCTTCTAATATTGCTGGTCTGTCTTTCTACATTTTCGAAGACAATAGGGCACTGGTGACAGAAGCAAACTTTTGAATTTGTTTTCAAGTGCTTCATAAAAAATTTATAGAGCGCAAAAACAATTTCTACTTCATGTTTATGAACCAGCTCAGTCCTTAACTTTTAATAACTTGAACCGATCAGTATTCTTGCTTCCAGGCCATTATATTTTTCTATGAAATTTATCCGTCGGTTGCCTGTAATCGTCAAAATGGTTTGTAAGAACTTAAACTCATCAGGAAAGAAACGACAAACTGATACGGAGTTTTTTTAAGATTGAAATGAGAAAATCCGCTCTTACGCTAACGAATTCACTGACAAAGTTTTTGGCGAGTTTCTTCATTAAAAGTACATCCAATACTGGGTGTAACCTTTGAGATCTACTGCATCCTGTCCAGACTGTCATATATCAAATTTCGGCAGATTTTTATTTTCACTGGGCATGGAGTAAGAGAGTTGAGAAGTCAGGGATGACAGACGCTTGCTTGAATAATATGAAGCTTACATTTTGAAATTACCCGTAAGCGATCAGTTTCATTATTATACACAACCTTGTTCCCAGGTTCTATTAATACATTGTACTCATTATCTGTTTTCTTATTGGCTAAGAGCCTACAGCTACAGTAATTTTGGAAATCAGCGTAACCTACAGATAAGTTAGTTATAGGTTGCGCACGCAATGCATGATTTCCAACAACAATATTAATTCAGGTTCCTTGCGATGGTGTGTTGTCGTTATTTTCTTCAAACCAACGTATACTAAAACAATTATTAGATTCGGTTTTTGTGATATCCTAAATCATCAAGGTCTCGGTAAGTGTTTTAAATAAGCCTCGGCCTTCGGCCTGGCCGATAACACTACCTCGACCTTGATTATTGTGGATATTACAAAAACAATAAAAAAACAATAATTGTTTAAAATTTACAGAAATATGAAAGGAAGAAAAAACAACAACAACAACGTGAAAACGTCACCAAAAAGGTTTTTCACAGGCTCTGGCGAAGGCATTTAGGTCAATTAGTATAAATGTTAAGCGCCAAGTCAGGGAGGACATTGACAAAGGAAACCCTCCCTGAATAGGAAGGAAGGACTGGACCTACCAGCAATTTATAATTCTCTCTTGGGAATTCGTAACTTTTCATCGTCTCTTCATAACGCTGAGGAAGTTCGAGTGATACGCACGAAATATTCGTGTTGTTTTTTAATTTTTGCTCTTAGTTTTGGAATTTTCTATACTAAACGAGAATGATTTTTCTATCAGAAATCCCTTGCGCCGTAAATGAAACCCGCATTTTTATTGAGGTTCAGTTTCAATCCAAGCACTCAGAACTTCCGGCTTTATCGACCATGTCGAGTGAATTGTTTCTTGAAAGGAGCAATATGCCTCGACAAGAACCACGGAACCTGTTTGTTTCCCAGGGTTCTTGCAGGTTTTCAGGGACAACATCAATGTCAATATTTTGCAATTTCTGCTAATAACTTCCATGTATTCCAAAACGTCATGGGGAAACCGCAAATTCCGGTTGGAATTTTAAAATCAAATTGTTAGCGCCATTCTATTTTAGACCCCATCGGCGTTCAGGGGATGCAGTTGTCTAGTTTACTTCCAGAAGTCTATTCAGCTGATTTGCCTACACTTTGTACATGTTTGTAGTGGAAACTTTTCCTTTAAGGTCATATTTAATTCTTAAATGCTTATGCATGAGATTTCCAACGGGATGCCTTGTGTACGACACCTTTGGAAGATTTCCCGATTTGATACGTCTTTTAAGGTGGTAGATGGCATTATTAATTTGAAATTTGGAGAAATTTTTGTGCTCGGTTCTGTCAAATTTAATACGGCTAGCTAGCCCGCTTGGCTGGCGGTTTTTTTTGTGAGTTTTTCCTTTTGTGGCTCGTTAAGTAAGAGATACGGACGCGCGAAAGTTGAACAGTGGTTAAACTAGAAAACGATGGGGGAGGGGGTGAGGGGCAGTGAGAAAAACCGCCGGTTTTTCTCTCTCCACCCTCGCCTCTCCCCCATCGTTTTTCTAGTCGAACCTAGAATGTTCACACGATCACAGTCCCCTATTTTTTCGTGAGATCGTTGAGATATAGCGCGGATTACCAGGGGAGGATCCAGGATTTTTTTTAGGAGGGGGTACACTCGTCTCTTGCTCTACTTCAACACCAATAAACCACATAGTTTCTTTTTGGTGGAATACCAGTTGTATTAGAAAACCGCAGGTCATCTCAGGTGGGGGGGTGCGCACCCCCTGCACCCTCCCCCTAGATCCGCCACTGCTTACCGTTAATGACGACCATCTTGATTTTCAGATGTACCGAGGGGCGTACGTCGGGGATTATAGCTCTAAGGGGACGGGGGCGAGAAAAATAGAAAAATGTTTTTCTCGCTTCCTCCCAAACATGCAAGATGGCAGCCCTTAACGCAAAGCCCTCGATCTCGACGATCTTACGGAAAAATAGAGGACTGTGAACAGTCAACGGGGCCATAGGCCCCGTTCATACTGAGATCGTTTAAATGAGATCGATCTGAGATCGATCGAGGCTGCTTTTAATACGAGCTCAAAACGAAGAAAATCACACCAGAAAAACCACGATGTGTATCGGTGAATTTGCATGCTTTCTTTAAAAGTTTCATTTATCTACTTAAAATATTAAACCTTGGCTAACGATGACTTGAATGCCGGTCATGGTTTTTAATACGCTTATTGAAGGCTATCTAAATATACAAACGTCTTGACCCTTTTTTTAAACCCTCAATCGCTAAACTTGACCTAAAATTTATCAAGTTGGACAGTTTGCTTGTCCTACCCACGGAAGAAAGGCAGCGCCGTAGCTAGTATGAGGCCAACCGAGGCACTCGCCTCGGTAAAATTTGACGAATTTCGCCGATCATTTTTATTTTACATAAGCGATCATCGGATATTTTTAACGCATCATGATATTACAAAGAATTCAGCAATTCAGTCAATATACTATGAAAAAATTACCATATCATCGATCTCAAGGGGCTACGTACGTTATGCATCAGTCAATTCCACCTGCGCCCAGCCCCCCCCGGCTGACCCCCGGGAATTAGCATTTTTTTTGCCTTGGATGGCAAATTCCCGGGGGTGGGGACTCTTGAGCTGGCAAATCCCCCGGGGTGGGGACGAAAAAAGAGGGCAAATGCCCCGTCCTTCGTCAACAGTGCAATATTTTTTATTGATCGCACAGTCCAATAGTGCCATTTTAATGTGCGATTTTTTGTTTCAATTAACGTCTTCCTTTGTAATAGCGCTAGGATTATAATCAAGACTTCACACCGCGACAACATGCACCAGTTTATGGTTTTAGTATTGATATAAAAGTACTGACATTAAAATTAACAGAGCGCTGTAAAGTTATATGTTATGAATAGTTTTATAAATATGAAAGGGTGTTCTTCAAATAATATCAACAGAAAGTTGATTCAATAACCAAAAAACGTTGATTCACATCGATAGCTCCAATTTCGCTATGTAATTCTGGCTTGATAAGCAATGAAGAAATGCATACATACATGTAAAATCGTGAACATGCCTTTACAACCCTCTACAATATATTCCTGTCCTTGACAGATGAGCCAATCTGCTTTTTTTTCCAGTAAAACCTTCTGTGTAGTTATATTCTGATAGGAAACCGCGCGCGTGTCAAAAGTTCGGGAATGGCCCGGGGGTTGGCAAATGCCCGGCCCCCCTGGGCGCAGGTGGAATTGACTGATGCATTAACTCAAATTTTTTTTGAACAAATACTGATCAAAACCATTGGCGAGGTTAACGGTCACCCAGATTATGTAGCTTGTTTCTGATTATTGCTTTTTAAAATCCACTTAAATTAACTCGAAAAAAAGTTACCGAAAGGCCCAGAAAACGCTGCAAATCGCATTTCCGAGAGACTAAAGTTCAAAATTTCTCGGGGGGGGGGGGCATGCCCCCGAACCCCCCTAGCAACTCCCGCCTGCCTCGGTTGGCCGTTTGGTCTGGCTACGGCACTGAAAGGGATGAACAATTCAAACCGCGGTCTATATGGTGTAAGGACTTCGTTTAAATGACAGGCTCTCTAATTTTACAGTAAACAAGCTAATGCTAAAACAAAAATTCAAAATCACGTAATAAGTTAGCACTGGCAAAGTTGATTCTTACCTGTTTATACCTTGTTCGTTAAAAAAAGAGACGGTTTCTTATTAAAACAAACGGTCCACAATGGCGCGGAAGATTTGTACAGGCCGCCAAAAAATGGCGGGAAAATTCAGCGCCTGCTTCAAAGAGCTGACGCTGGTCAGAAGTGGGGCTCAAGTCCGCCATGTTTGTCATGTTGCTCGAACACGCGGTTGAAAAAAGTTGTAAATGACTCGTAAAAACAGGAACGTCTTGGACGAAGTATGGTCCAAAAGGAAGCGAAAATGTAATATGAGAAATTTTTTAAAAAATTGTTGTTAATGTGCTTTTGCATTTAGACTTGGTTTTGAAGTTTTCTGCGCGAAAACACAAAGCAGCTTCTACCTTGAAGTATGATTGAAGTTTGAAATAGTCTTTTCTTTTTTCTTCAGGTTCGCGTTGTGGGACTTGCAGAACCTGGGAGCCCTACGATCATGCATCGCTCGATGGAACTTAGGGCTTTGGAACAGCAAAGATTCAGGTGAATGCTGAAAAAGTTGTTATGTTGATGTGAACACAATACTGTGTGCGCGCAGCGGTATGGAGTCCTTTGAGTAAGCTGAAATGATAAGTTTTGTTATTTGTATCGGTCAAGTCGAAGCTTCAACATCTCCCCCTTCATTTTAATTTTTTTATTTATCAGCGTTCAAATTTGCTGAATTTGCCCCTCCCCGAGCCAGAAAGTCGTTCAAAAGCCCCATCACAGATCCATGATCAAACTCGTGCCCAGATGCTGAAGGCGTAAGACAATTCAATTTTTTTGATTGGGAACTCAAACTGTTTAGATAGTGGTGTGAGTGTTTTCAGCTGCCCACGTTATGTATGGCATGTACCATTCATTCTTTACAAGGTCTCAAGTTTTGTTCTAAAAAACCTGTTTGCTAAGCAGTTTATTCCATCTTACTATGGACTGCAAAACCTTTTTTATGTTAGGCCATCCCCTTTTTTTTCGCTCAGCGTCAAATGCGTTTCCTGATGTGGGGTCGGTCGGTCGGATTGAAAAAAAAAATTCTAAAAAAAAAATCACAAGAAGTCTCGGAATAAAAGCCCGTGGTACCCCAGGAAGACGTTAAAAGTTAACATTCACTTACAGCTGTATTTGGATGAACAAAATGCACAATATACTGTAAAAAGTGTTCCTGTTTTTGTTCCTGTTTTTCTCTATGCTGTTACTAAACTCATTTTTCAGATTAAAAGAATTATTTCGCGAGAAAAATGGTTTAACTAGGTCGTTACTTATTTTTTTTTTGAAAATGCCGAAAATTTGGGTCGGTCAGATGACACTAAATGGAGAAAAAAAAGACGATGGCCTTACAGTCAAACTCTGTTATGGACAAAAGTGTCTGTATTAATGGAGTGTCCATATTAAGTGGATCATGTTATTTAAGTCAAAAAACACCTTTTTTTGAACAATACTAAAGTAAAAACAGGAAATTTAATAAACAGCATATTTGTCAAATTACACATTTCTAACCTTCACAAAGCCATCATTCCGTGGCTTAAATCCAGGGAAACACTCAAAAATTGCTCATTTATATATAACTGAATTAAAACTGTTCTCTGCGTAATGGTTATGCCGAAATTAGTCTGAAATTGAAGTCTACAAATCATTCTATCTGGTGTACTGTAGTGTTGCGAACACTGACAGGCTGTCAACTGAAGGTTTTTTTACCTTCAAAAAGGAAAGATCTATTGTACAACACACTTAATGAAGTGTCCGCATTAGCGTGGTTAGCTTTCTTTGAGAATTTTGATCAGACAAGAAAATAAGTCTGTTGTCCGCTTTAACAAGTGTCCGTATAAAACAGGTTGATTTGGGAGAAAATGTAAGGGCATCCCCAGGAACAAACAAAACTGTCTGTAATAACTTGCCTAGTCTCTGTGCGGCATTTTCCCAGTCCCTATCGGTCAAGCGGGAAACTCCCAGACAAAAACAGAATGCGCATGTGTGCGTTGCTTTTTGAAATTCAAAGATTGTAAAAACTAACGTTTAGTGTAACAGGAGATTTTGGTTTTTTTAACAACCCTCATGGATATTTGCAGGATCAACTTTTGCTGACGGGCTTTATTTTATTCATAGTCCTATGAAGATTGACACTGCTCCTTCAATCTCATCATTCCAACTGAGCTATCAGAGTTTGCTGCTCGCAAATTTTCAAAGTAAAAACAATATTGACCCTCTGTGTAACTTAGACCTCAAATCTTGAATAATTAGAAAAACAATACTTTAAAATAAAATTCATTAGCTGCATATCAAAAAGTGCCCATAAACTGAATCTAAAAGTAAAAATCCTATAAAATTTGCGTACATTCACAGAAGTGATGCGCGTATTAATGTGAGAATCATGCATGCACTGTCTCAGGATCGTGTTTTGAGCTAATGTTAATCAATGAAAGAACACACAACAATAGACAGAGAAATTATTTAACGAAAAATTTTTATTCAAAGGCCCATAAATTAATCCTTAAAAGCAATTCGCGTAACACAAATTTGGCATTAGCATTCTTTTGAAGTTTCCTTTCCCATCTGTGTGTTTTAGCGGTGTATTTTTAACCTTGAAATGCAAGACACTTGTCTTGTTTACCATCGCCATTGAGCTGTCTCACTTTTGTCTCACTTTTGAGGAGTTTTGTCTAGGCCTCACGTTTTTGCTTGGACCACGTAACCCAAAACGCTTTGGCCACACAAATGAGGTCTAGGGACTAGGCAATGTAATAATGAGGTGTGCACATTAAGCGGGTGTCCATTAAAGTGGGGTTTGACCGTATCTCAAAAAGGACTTTTCAAACCTTTTTCCCCATTTTAAGACAAAGGCTTAGCCAGAAAGCCAAAAGTAAAACCTGTTGGTCACTTAATCCTCGGGCAGACTCCTGGACCACTGTGCCTGGCCCATCAGCATATATACACATAGCACTGTGCCATGTCAGCATTATATGTAAGAATATTGTCAGTATTTAAAACTTTTTGCCATGGAAATTCTGCCAGTAAAGTTATCCTTGACCTGTTGGAGGTGGCTGGTTGTATGCGAAGTAAGCTGTTATTTTAAAGTCAGTGATCTCTTTTTGTCTCTTAACAGTGATGATGACTTAGCTGGAAGCAAGGAAACAATTAGGTAATTTGTGTAAATATTCTGTCAGCTATGGACACTGTAGGATATGTAATAATTTTCTGACATTTATATATGCTGTTTATTTTTACTCTTTCCCTTATTAGTGATGATATATTTTGGTTTTCTTTCTTAAACAATTTGCAGACTGAAGCAGATGTAGAGCTAATGCCAATAAATACTTAAATCTGGACACTCAATAAATTGAGAGTTTCCATTTGGATTCATCTTTGTCAGAGTTTCGTAGATTTCAAAATGATAGCCCCAGAGAAGCTTCAATATATTGTGCATTTTTCAAGTTAAGTTTGATTTACGGTAGTGAAAAAAATATTTTGTTTTCCATTTCTGTCAACAGAAAAGTTGTGAACATGTGGAAAGGCTCAAACCCTGACCGTAATGCCAATAAAACAACAGCAGATGTAGTCCTAGCTTTGAAGCAGTATAAGCAGATCACTCAGCAGCCTCAAAACAGTGCTTCAACCAGAGCACGGTACGATGCTTTTTCAAATAAATTTATGGAAAAATTTCCTCTCTATTTTAGGTTTTGGGCTAAGTTTGCCACTTTAATTGGTTTATCTAAAGGGGTCATTGTTTACTTAACAATATTATTCTTTAATTTGTTTTTAGTTTTCGCCATGCTGCATTGCGTAGTGTAACGCGAAAGAAGCAGGGAAACTTCACAGTACGCCAAGAACCAGACAAAGATCAAGATCAGCAGCAATTGAATCTTCTTTCCATGTCTTTCTATGGATCAAAGCTTCTAACAGGAGGTAATGTATTACAATTATGTTGGATACAAGTATTTTCCTGCTTCAAGGGAGAAATAGTTACCTGTAGATCTAACCCTCATGTTTAATTCATTCACTCATTTCTGGACAGAAAGTGGGAAATTTTGTTAAAAAACTCCTTTTAAAGCTAGCGGAAGTCAGGCTGTTTCAGCCAAATCGAACCAACCTAAACTACCCAAATTGCTGTTTATAAGTCAAGCACTTGGTTACATTCTGTTCCTGATTCTAAAAATCAACTTTGGAAGTTAAGGGATGTGCAGAAAGCAAAAAATGTGGTAGTCCCTTTTATTGGGAGCACATTATAATATTATTTTAATTGGATGCATGTTCCCCTACTAAAAACCATAGGAAGAAAAGAAGTATCTTAGGTTCTGACTCCAATTGATTTTATTGAGTTTTTACCCCAACAGATGAAAAATGTTTCAACTTCAGTGCATCTTCATATTCAGTTGTGAAAAGTGCCAAGAAATTAACAGTGGAAGTTCAACTCAGTCAAAGGATGCCCAGGTTTGCATGTCATTCTTGAGTTAGTAATAACTTAAAGTCAAGAAACCTTGGAAGTATGAAATGCGACAGTTTTGTCATCCATAGTTTATTTTCTTTATGCTGTTTACTCAGATTGCTTTAAAGTGTCAAACAGTTCCACTCTTTTTGCCTGGTCTATAAATTATTTTTGTTTTGATGTGGAACTAACAGACTTAACTTCGTTTTACAGGTCACTGGCTGTTTCATGCCTGGTCTAACTATTTTGTTTTTAAGTGGAACTAACAGACTTAACTTCATTTTACAGGTCACCCGCTGTTTCACGTAAAAAACTGTCATTACCAGCTCCATATGACCCAAGAACACCAATCACTCAAGAAAATAAGAATCAACTTTCTATACCGGTTTGTAGATGTTTGAATTATTTGTAATATAATTACATGTACAGTGTGAAATGTTATGTCTGTATGGCTTGTTGATTACATTATGTTTTAGTCTCTTCAGTGACTAAGAATTGTATGTAGAACAGTGTGAGTGATGATTTTGCTTAGAAATTCAAATTCCAATTACTTCAAAGGCCCAGTTCAGACGCCGTACTTCACATGAACTTAGTTCATTGAATCCAATTGGGCTTATGTGAAGTAGGGAATCTGAAGTGGGCCTAAGCTCTAATTTGGCTCATTGACTAGTTTCAATGTTAAGCTCTGTAAGAGTGTATGTACTTCGAATAATCTGAACATAATTTAAATTAATTTGAAAAAAAACTCATCTCTTTCTTCACCAGGGTCCATCACTGCTCTATTTAGTTCCAATATTTTATGTCAAACTCAATAAATTTCTATTCATATAAAGTACAATAATTAATGTTTTGAAGGAAAGTAATGGTGGGCCCTTATCAACTCCTAAACTTGGAAGGATGATACCATCAAGGGACAGTGCTTACAACACAGGAGATACAGCCTCTCAAGCAACTCTTAACAGTGATACCATGGGCAGTGACTCAGCACAAGCTTCCAGTATTGACTTTTCTGTTGATTATGAGACTCGTGATGGCTCTGCAAGAAATGGAAAGGACTATAACAGTTTAAAAGGCACACTGGTGAGTAATCATAGCGAAAGTATATTTTCCCCTGTTTCAAGACCTTTTGAAAGTTAAAGAGTTCATTTGTCAAATAATATGATTTAAGTATGTGTACTAATATTTGTACAGTACAAGTAGGTATTTCAAGAGGAAATATGGAATGAGAGATAAAATAAAAAAATTAATAACAACAACAAAATTGATCATGTCGTAAAGACTATCTTCTTTGAGTTCATTTAAACTTTATTGTTTAGAAGTTAAAACAGTCACATCTAGAAATTATTATTATTATTATTATTTTTATTAGTTGCTTTATTTTGCAGACATTTAAACCAGGAGATACTAAAAAGGCATTGACAATAACTCTAATTCACCATGAAGGATACACACAGGAGAAAGACTTTTATGTGTTGTTGAAGAATCCAGTGGGAAAAGCAGAACTAGGAGAACCTAACCTGGCCAGGATCACAATAATTGATGATGACGGTAATGATCTTTATCTCTGTGAAAAGTACATCGTGACAGGGCTGCAAATAACGGTTGGTCGTTGGACATTGACCGACCAAAATTTGCTAATGTCTGTTGTGGTTGAGCCCAAAGGACAACTTTTGGAGTTATCTTAATCATCTATGTGAGATTGTAGTCATCTGGAACAACCAGATGATTGCGAATATGGATCCCTGAGTTAGTTTTGATAAATATAAGCATACAGTCAGCTTTAGCTGTCACATACTTAAAATGGTGAGACCAGGTCAAGTCCTTCTTGACATAAACACCAAGATATGAACTGGTGTATTACGTTATGGCTGTCTACAGTATTATTATATTAAGGCTAAACCCTTCTTGGTTGTGTTTTGTTTTGTAGAACCTGGGGAATTTTCATTTGAACAAGCATGCTATTTTGCTAACGTGGTATCTGGAGATGTAACATGTAGTATCATTAGAAAGAAAGGCTGTGATGGAACTGTTACATTGACCTACAACACAATGTGGGTTTGAGTATACTTCTTATTATTTAAATAATTTTCTACATGTTATTCAACCCTTTTATTAAACTAATGCATTTTTGGTTTTTAGGAACGGTACTGGCTCAGGTGGTTCTGCAGATGACTTGAATGACAAAAAGTGTGACTTTGAGCATGCAGTGGAGGGGAAGTTAGTCTTCCAACATGGAGAGACGTCAAAAGAGCTTATCATAAGAGTCAACCCTGATTGTCAGGTAGGATGTGTCTACAATGTACATTTAGATCAGCCTTTGTAGTTTAATACCATCAGGCGACATGTTACAACTCACTTTGACTCTGAAGGTGACTACTACAAAGGTTGTTGAAACGTGAGTTACTGTCAACCACAGTCTTTAATTCAGGACTATTTTCACCCAGTTGATCATGCTCCACCAACTTATGATTGATTTACCTGACAAAATTTTTCCACTTCACATTGCAATAGCTGCTATAGTACTGACATTGATATAAGAGCTCGATATCTTAGTGAACTCTATTAGGGTTCAATAGTTTGCTTTTTTATTATCTGACCAGTGAATACCTCATGTAAACTATTTAAGAATCCCAGCTCTTTGCAAGGCTATTTTAGGGATCAGTCTGTATTGTATTAATGTCAGCAATGCATGGTTTTATATTTTTATTGTATTGTACTCTAATTTTTAGATCATGATAACAATAAATTGCCAATGTCACTCTACAGTGTTGCTTTTTTTTTGTTTTTTTTTTTAGCAAGTTGGTTTTCTCACTTAATAAAAATTATGCTCTTTCACTGATTCGTTCATTCACTCATTGTGAGAAGTCTTATTTGTATAATAAATTGTGAAATATAATTTTCTAAGTTCCTTCTGTTTTTCCCTCCACTTTTACATTATTGAGCGAGTTATTTCTACAGATTCCAATCCATATTCATTTTTTCAATATTTCAGAATAAAAACTTCATTGTATTGTTGAGTAATCTGAGTCCAGGAGCCAAACTTGGGAAAAAAAGTGCTGCAGTTGTTAACATAACCAATGGTAAGCTTGTTGAAAAAGATTCCCAGGCAGCCTGCATTCCCTCATGGGCAACATCATTATTTACCTCTCACAGGAAAGAGGGCATGGTACATTTTTTTATCAGTTAACTTGTGTAAGAGCCAGAATCTTGATCTCTTTTGGATTGGATCGGACCTGACACAATAGACATATGAATAGATTTACAGTTGGCGCTGCAGTTGCTTGTTGTGCCTCATGGAAATCTGACTCCTGTTATCTAATATGTACATTAAATGGCTTAAATTCTAGTGCATTTCACACAATGTCTTGACTGAACACCTATTGGCTTAATATACCATAACAAGACAATCAAACATAAGTTTCTTTAATTTGGAGGGCCATCGGTGACTCGCAATGTAAATAATGCATCAGTGTTTCTTTTTCCCCTTCTTTATAATTAAAGTAAAGGAGGAGGTAAATGCAGGTTACCTTTGGGTGGAGCCTTTCCACACGTCTATCCCTGAGTAACTGCTGGTAGAAACAGTGTCATCAACAACAAAATTATCAGGATTGTTACATATTATAATAGAGAGGAGAAGTCATCACGTCACGTTGCCATGGTAGCAAAATTTCCGGATGACAACAAACCAAAAACATCACTTAAAAAGTGAACTTGCCCTGTTTCGAACTCCATTGATCTTATTCAATTTCATTTAATTTGTAAAATCTTGGCGAAGTTGTCACAGGTTGAATCCCAAAGGACCATATAGAAAAAGAAAATTTTTGTGCTGTGTTCACCAACTCTGTAAAGCGTGCGCATGAAATTAGGAAGTTTGTCGCAGACTTGCAACGGCAGCAAAGAAATATACAGAAAAGCGTGATACACGTGCAAATTTGTTGCTTTGCTAATATAAACTGATTGCTTTTTTGCCGTTCTTGTTGCTGTCGTCGTCGTTGTTGCTTAAGCTCCCTATTGTTGTGATCCAGACATGTTGCTACCATGGTAACATGCTGTCACAATTCTCCTCTCTGTTTTTAAATGATGGTTGATTTAACTTCCAAGATTGGCCCCAAATCCTTTATGTAAAATATTGTTGTTTCAGATGTGGATAATATTGTTGAGAGAGTAGCAAATATAATGACAGCAGAAGATGAGCACAGCTTGACGAAGAGTTGGCGATCACAATTTGAAGAGTATGTTGAAAGCTCTGTTAAGGGTCCATTAATATTAAGTGCTGCTCCAATGCAACTGTTTGTTTCAGTGGAAACTGAGTAAATATGGTGATCTGGTCTTGCTTAAAATGTTCTGTATTACATTTATTTAGAATGCAAAATCTGTGAGAAATTGTCTTTGAAGCTGAGGACAGGGAGGAAGGAAGGGGTCTAAAGCTTCAAAAAGCTGATGTTGTTATTAAGGAAATTGCTCCAAATAAAACAATGAACACTAACAGTTTGTTCCTTCCTCATGGGGATGTATTTCTCTTGTTAGTCAGGAAACATTTTGCACATGAATGAGCAAAATGTGCAATCATGTACTTGAACTGATTCATAATTCAGTTTTTGGAGAATTGGTAAAAGTGAAGAGGAGCTCCCCTAAAATTATGTTGGCCAACTGTCAGTAAACGTTCTGCCAACAGTGGTAAATAAGGAAGTTTTAAGTCTTAATAAACCTTGAATACTTCAAGATCGCTCATCTTGGGTACGTAAAATTAAAAAGTCACACCTGTACTTACCTGCCTACCCTTTTTCTCACAGTAAAGTTGACATGTGTTTTATTCGTCGAAAGTAATAATTATTGTTTTGTCCTTTGTCTCTCATTGACCTGACCTTTTTCTCAGGTCTATCATGTTCTTTCCCAGCCCTCTTTTTGTTACTCTCTTCATCTCCCCTCTGCATGGCTGCATTGCAGTTAGAGTGGAATTTATTCTCAGTTTTTGACTGCATGTTTATTATTGTGAAAAGGGCAATAGTTATTCAAGGAGAAGAGGATGAAGATGGAAAACAAGAGCCACTTAGTGCCATGGACTTTTCGCTTCATTTTCTGACATTCTTTTGGAAAGTTCTTTTTGCCTTTGTTCCTCCAAGGTAACCTAAAATATTACAATTGTGGTTCCTCTATCATTATATAACTAACAGGTGATCTTGACAAAAAGAATTGTTGGTCCCCTCTGAATTTTGAAAAGCAACTTTCAAGCAGCTCTTCTCCAAGATGAATCTTGAAAATGTGTCTTAAGAAATTTCTCCCCTTTTTCTCAAGTCATTCTTGACTCTTTCTCCCTTGTACTGCTATGCACATGATCAGACTTCAAGATGCATCACCCTACATGTATGTTACTTTCATCATTTTCATACTTTAAAAAACCAAAAAGTGGACTTTATTAATGTTAAGAAAATGCTACATCAATCTTTTTATCCAAGTGCTGGTATAATACTTTTTATAACAGCCATGAATGGTTTTCCTTTTTCACAGAAACTTTCTTGGGGGATGGCCAGCCTTCATCATTTCCTTGTTGTTCATAGCAGGTCTTACTGCTTTAGTGGAACAGGTACACATAGACTGTATTATCTTGTGGAAAAAAGATATTTCTTCATGCATGTTGTAAAAAATAAATGTATCCATTAACTTTGGGCACTTTGTTCATGAGCTAGCAAGTCTTGCATTTTATTTTTCAGCTTGGAAAGCTTCTTGGTTGTGTAGTAGGGCTCAAGAACAGCGTTACTGGGATCACAATAATTGCAATTGGAACCAGCTTACCAGATACCTTTGCCAGTCGCAGTGCTGCTTTACATGATATCGGAGCAGATGCTTCTATTGGCAACATCACAGGTCAGTCCATCAATTTGCTGGGAAACCCATCAATGAAGGCTTGTAGTGTATTTAGTGGTGTGCCTTTCATCAGTTTAGTAGACTTGAAACTAAATGAAAACTTGATGCTTAATACAACCTTGCTAAGGAATCGTAAAAATGCTGACATAACAATCTGACAAACTGATCTTTCACATCCATAATTATCTTGATTACTGCTGCCATGTGAAAATCTTCAATCATTTGTTTATTACAAACAAAACAGGTTGTTAAACAGGTTGTGTCATCAGTATGTGTCAATGTCAATAAAATCCTTCCTTTGTATAATGGCCTCACTCAAGCAAGGGAAGTCTTAACTCTTAAAAGACGGTCACCTGAAAGCAGTGTCAGGTGTGGTGGGCACGTTTTGATTGTTTTGAACAGAATGACAATAATTTGTGTCTATTTACACATGTTTATTTCGTTGCTCTCAGCTAGATGAAAAATGCAAAACTAATGTCTTCCTCGTCTTTTAATATATGTAACAATCACCCCTAAGATGGCATTAGTAAGTAGAGGCTAATAATAATAATTGTAAACAATTATTGTTTACAGCGATTTACTGACAACTTTTTGGGGTTCTAGCAATTTGCCTCTAAACAAAGGGGAGCCAATTTTTTTTATCAACTTAGGTTTGACTGTAACCCAATTATGTTTTCTTTCCTGAGAGGTAATTATGTCCTATTTCACAGGGAGTAACAGTGTGAATGTGTTTCTTGGTCTTGGATTGCCATGGGTTATATCCACTTGTTATCATGCAGTGAAGAAAACCAAGTATATTGTGTACAGTGGAAACCTAACCTTCTCTGTCGTGATATTCTCATCGTTTGGACTTGTCTGTATTTTGACCCTTGTCATAAGAAGATGGGTAAGTTCTCTTGCCAAAAAATGGTTCATACGTCCCATTCTTTTTGTAAACATTTCTTGTTTAAAACTGAAAGGTTTGAACCCAGGAGTCATTTCATAAGTAGGTTGAGTATGATCGTCTGCGTGAATGTAGTCCTGAATAGGACTGTTGTTGTTGAGAGTGTCCAGTCATTCTCTGGAGAAGTGATAATTTGAGTAACAATAAACAACTGTTTAACTTTGACAATAGATGGATCAAAACACAGCAATGATATTACGAGTCTTCATAGCCAATAACATCACAGCCTAACTGATAGACGACCAATAAAATCACGACTTAATTGACCAGTCAGGTCAATAACCAGAGTTTGATACCATCAACTGACGTGATACAACTCACTTTGACTCTGAAGATGACTACTGCACAGGTTGTTGAAATGTCAGTCAACAACAAAAGTCCTATTCAGGACTACGTTCACCTAGACAATCATACGCAATGTACTTATTTCTTGTTTAGTGAGGTGAACTTGTTAAGTGAACCTTTATCTTGTTTTAACTATTGGTGTAAACAACTACATGGATGGTAAAGCTTTCAGAAAAATGTTAGCAAATTATTAAGTTTGTACTTACTTTAGTGTAGCATTTCCCCTAGAGCAGTTCCCATGTTTTTATTCCATTAATTACCATTAATTAATTAAGCTCCTTTTCCTTTTCCCTGCTGTAAATTCGTTCTATTTATTATTATTTATAAAATAAACTCAGTCATCTGATTGTGGTCATTCATTAATAACAGATTTTTTCTACAGGTTACTGATTTAATGATAAGTATTATAATTTCTTAGGTAATCAAAGGAGAACTTGGTGGCTCAGCAACATCAAAGTGCTTAACAGGCTTATTCTTGGTGTTCCTGTGGTGTAGTAACATTGTGCTGTCCTCACTTATGGCTTATGGAATGTTGCCAGTGACATTTTGACACTATCGCATATGAGTATGCTGCCCCAGGTCTAAGCTCGATTACCAGCTGGTGTTTGGGAAATGAGCCTACACTCCTCCCTTGACACGATCAACCATCCCATGCATCCAGCTGTCTCTTCTTGGGAAGGACCAAGAGAGCAGTGGAAACTGAGCCTAGCTCACATCACAAGGCTAAAAAGGTTTAGAGAAATTAGTTGTGTAATTTCTTTAAACCTTTTAAGCCTTGTAAAATAATAGTATTTTAATCTCCACCGAATATTATGGACATCATTGGTTATTTATTCTGAAAAAATGTTTAAATTGAAAATCATGATGTTTTCCAGTCTTCCCATTCCCATGATGCAGCCTCTTTCCTGATTGCTGATTGTATAAGAAGGTAGTTTTAAAAAAATGTTTGTCTACCAGGCGTTGATGTTTTAGTGCAATCAAAGTCATGAAGTGGATTACCACAAATGACCTAATAAATGCCCACTTCCAAATATTAACGCCTCTTATAATGACCCCTGTCTAATAGAAAGCCCCTTGAAAATTTCCCCAAAATACTAGGAAATGGCAAAAAAGAGTAAAGTCAATCAATTTATTCATTTCATTGCTTGATAAATAACAGTTTGTGTATTTTTAGTTCAAAGTAAGAATAGCGCTCTTTGATCCTCTGATATACACCAATTTTAATTGGTGTAAATTTATGCAATAGCATTTAAAAATACATAATTTACTATACAGTAATCTACTTTTTAAAATGCTTAAGCAATGAAAACGAGTGTCAAACTATGGTGTGGAAATATTCGCAATAGGTGGACTGAATTTTTGCCGAAAACATGCTGTATAAGTTTTGTTCAGCTGTTTTGATGAGTTAAAATTATGCAAGTAAACCCCTCTCTCAAATAAATGCCTCCTATCTTTTAAATGCCCTTGCTTAGACCCCTAAAATTAAATAGACACCCCAGGTGTTTATTAGGTCATTTACGGTATTACCGTAAGACAAACTAGTGTTAGTCGAGCTACCTTTTCAAGATCAGATGAAGGTTTTGGTTCAACACTGTCTTACCATCTGCGTAGTGTGTGTAGCTGTGATATGTTAATACTTTAGTAAAGAGGACCTGAATGCTGTTTATGGCAAGAACTTTATTTGAAAGGCTGTTTAGGGCTTTAAGGTGGAAACCAAAAATAAAATAATGTTATGTTAAATAAGAATTTGCAGTTTTGGTGTGGTTTAGAGTAAATAAATGTCACTGTAAATATTATTGAGCTATAACAAAACAGCTGAATCATATGTTACCATTTTGAATTCTTTTTGAGTTTAAAAGTTCAGAAAGAGGTTACCCGGTGAAATTCTAGAGGAAAAATGGAACGTTTTTTTATGATTGTACAGTTATAGAGAAACATTTTTGTTGTGATGTCTTTTAACTTACATTTTTTTAAAATATATTAAATATTTTATATGGGGTATTTGAGGCAAATCTGAATCATTGATTCTTGTTGCCTTCAGGGGAGGTCCTCTTCGCACAGGCACAAAATGCAGTGTGTGTGTTTCTGACTTACAATATATTCTGAGATGCACTTGGACAGTGCCCCATAATGTAGATTCTATTAGTAATAATTCATTGTTATGAGTTTGTACTGAGTAGTTTTCTTAGTTGTCTCAAAAGTGTTTCACTGTTATAATGCCAATGTGATTATCAACTGTAGCACAACAGGAACTCCAAAGGGACAGATCGAAGTGTCCACAACAAAGTTGTCCTCTCTCATCTATGAATTCCCTTTTTTCTTTCTTGTGCCTGCAGTTCTACAGTCTTCTTATCAACCGACTCTCCCTCTTTTACTCATTCCTGACTCACTAGGACATAACCACTGTTGTATGACACTGACAAAAGAACAAAGCACAGTTGTTAATGGTGCAAATTGATGTTTGCTTTTGCCTTAAACCTGATTCTGAATCTCTGTAACATGTGCACACTTTATACCAAATTGTAAATATCATTGCTGCCTAATAATATTATTGTGAAGTTGAAATAATCAGCATTTCACAAGCATGGGACGAACAAAAAAAATCTGAGTCCGCAACGGGATTCGAACCTACGACCTCCCAAACACCGGGCAGGCGCTCTATCCACTGAGCTACGGAGAACTCATGGAGAGCGAGGCCATACACTAGGTTTATTATTAATAATATATTAATTTTGTAAAGTGTGATTAAATAGTTTATTTAAAGACATTGCAGTTTGAACATAATGAAAGACCAAATCAGTCTGTTTGACAAGTAGTCTGCTACACAGCCGTTTTTAGTGTCGTCACGCAACGTTCCTCCCCACTAACGGCTGCTGAAAACCGAACTACATTCCTTTCCCTTTGTGTTTGTGGTCTAACGAACAAACCAATCATGTACAAGAAATTTGACAATACGTGAGCCGCAGGGCGCTAGGCAGCGAGCACGCTTCTCAGTTTTCGACAAATCAATCAATCGTCGCTGAATTTAGACGGGCTCTGTGTTTTCAAGCAACGAAAATGTTAATTTGCAAAAAAGTTTGTTTTAAGCGGTCAAGAAAGTTCCAAGTGAAAAGAAGGTTTGATAGGCCTAGAAAACTTTTACCAGGATCGGTTGGTTCTTCATTTAACGTGCATATGTGCTGATATGTAGTGAAGAATTTAATGTACCGGATGTGCTCATTGTGTTCTGTGAAGACTAAACTCTCTAGGGTACTGAGTCAAAAAGCAATCTTATAAATTATCGATGAGCGATTTCCCGAAACTATACCTGGCAACTTTATGAGCACATCCATGTTGTGAATCGCAATTTGCTTGACTTTCTTGCTGTTGCTGCTTATCTCCTAAATTTTGAATAGGACTCGACTACGACAACACTGTAGTTAATTGCTTGTTTTCACGCGACGATTTTGATTATTCTGTCATTCACACATGGGGCAACGATAAAAGCAAAGCTGTGATTGGAGGAGTCACAGTACCGCAAAGGTGGCGCGAACACTTTCCAGAAAATGGGAACTGAATTATAATTGGCTAATCACGGGAAAGGAATGTAGTTCGGTTTTCAGCAGCCGTTAGTGGGGAGGAACGTTGCGTGACGACACTAAAAACGGCTGTGTAGCAGACTATTTGACAAGTGAAAGGATTAAAAATTAATTATTTATTGAATAAGCTAAGGGTATTTGAATAAAGCACAAAGAACACAGGATGTAAAGACTAGTTAAGAAGTTCCTATACTAGTTGTTGGTGATTTTTATGATGTGCAACTTCTATGAAGTGCTTTTTTCACAACTATTCTTTTCATATACATTTAATGCTACTAGTAGGTAAATCTTTGTAGACATGCATCTGACACAGAAGCGTATTGGGTTAGATGCTTCTGTCTGACGTTAATGAACCTTTAGTTTCTTGTCAAACTTTTATTCATTATTTTAAAATTATATTGCTTACCAGGCTATCTGGTGTGCTGGGTTAAAATTTTTGATGAAACGTAATTATGTTATGTACCTCTCATTATTCTTAAGGGGTATTTTGGTTATATTTATCTAGCTTGTTTAGATTACTGTGATGATGAGATAATATTATCATAAACAAAAATTTCCTCATTTATCCCATTGCCAGCATTGTTGAATGACATTGCTTCTCTCGTAACACTGGCTAGGGTGCAGCAATCCTTCCCTTCTATTTTATACTTCATTTTGTATTATTTTTAAATCTTTAATGCTGCTGCCTAGCACCTAGTTTAACTCAAGACAATTTTCCTTAAGGCCTTGCGCTGAACAGAGTTTCACCAAAATCGCAAAGACCCAATTCGAGAAATTCAGCGGTTTCCAAATTTAGGTCATAATTTATGCGAAAATGATAAGCAAACTTTACACGGATTATATCTAATAAACCAAGAGATTCATCCCTTTATTTTGGGCATCGTTATAACAGATGGGTCCTTGAAAGTCAGCAAAACGCTTTAGGGCCTTGTAAATGCCCGCGATTTCGAGCAAAGCAAACATATAGAAATTATAGTTTTCGCTATTTGTTGACGTTTGTCAGCGTTTGAGAGTCCTTCTCGCGAAGGAAGCATTTTCTTCAAAATTCGTAGTTTTTTTTCCTTCAAATTTTTTCAGGGCCACAATTGATTAACTAACTACCCGGACTCTGAATTTCATGGCCATTGAAAAACTGTGACATTATCTTCTATAAGCTCAAACTTGAGTAAACATTGAAGATTTTTAGCGTTTTGGCTGAATTTGTGCTTTGGGAGTTGTCTATTGAGAATAATAATTATGAAAAATGGAGACTGATTAGTGTTGCAAGCACAGCAGTTAGTGTGTAATTAGCTCTCAAAAATGTTTTCAGAGTGAGAAAAAAAGAAGTAATAAATAATTATGGCCCGGAAATTGTGTTTCATTTTATCCATTACTGCTACAGGCACAGAAATGGTGCAAGTAGGAGACTAGTAGGAGAGTAGGATTTGGAGTGTTCCTAAGTGAATTGTAGCACTTTTAGCTCAATGTTTATCAATGTATGTGTACATAGGCTCGTTTCTTGTTTGTCTCAAGATTGTCACTGATGATGATCAGCTGTATGTGGTAATAGCAATGTGATTATCGTGAGACAAACAATAAAAAAGGGTATCATTTAGAGCTCTTGTTCTAATCTGGAAAGATCCTCACTTGTATGTGCGTTCTGATCCAGACCAAGGGTTTAGAAAAGGGATGCAGGGTCCGTTGGAAGACATATGAAAGGGGTACCATTTTTTGATAGAAGGTACACAACAGGAAGGCCTTTTCTGTCAAAAATCAGTGGCGGATCCAGACTTTCCAATAAAGGGGGCGTAAGGGGGCAGGGTTGCGGTCATCCAGACCCTGAGATAAGGGGGCGGCCCGGTAGAAAAAAATTTTTTTCAGCCCTTCAGGCCTCAGTTTGGTCTAAAAATAAGGGGATCCTCCACTGAAAATAGTATACAAAAGTGAAAGGGTTTAGATCTAAGGGTGGAAACTCCTCCAAGGGGAGAGGGACGCCAGATTACTTTCAGTCTAAAACAAAACCAGTGTGTCAAAACTAAGTCCTTTTGACAATAAGTTAGCCTTTTATTTACACTATGAAATAAACTTGCTGGATGTAAATTTCTGAGGATTAATATCAAATATAGTAGACATAAAAATAACTTACAAATATAAACTAGGGTAGATCTACAAACGGTTACAAAGATCTGTAAGAGGTACTCACTGAAGATAAAATAATGTGGGTGATTGTGGATGGAGATTAATATCTGTCTTCCTATTGTTGGAAAATTGGTCCATAATATGTTTGTAATTCATTTTGAAACTATAAGTATCTGACACAAAAGAATAATGGTACATTATAGCTATAACATTCACCCTGCATGAATGGCATTGATATTATTTAAATGACAGTTTACACCCTAAGCCTATCTGCATAGACTTGAAAACTTCTCTAGGAAAAAGCCATTCACACAAAGGTTAGAATGTGTAAGTGTTATTACTCAGTGTAGATACCAGGATCTATAGACTATTGATTCAGTTTCTTCATATAAAAAATATACCATCCAGAGAACCAGATGTAAGTAATCGGTGATGAATGACATCAATGAGTAATAGATGAGTAATCATCGGGTAATCAAGTGATTAATCATTGACTACACGCTACAATCAATGGGTAATCGATGACTAATCGATGGCCAGAAATTTTGTAGCCTGCTAAGCTATTTCTTGTGGCTTACGCCGCTTGTGACAACTTCGCCACCAAATCTCACTCGATTACTACACAATACCTCCAGCTGTGCAGGCTAAAAATTTTGTGGCCTATCGATTAGTCAGCGATGACATCGATTACTCATTGATGTCATCAATGAGTAATAAATTGATACATTCGATTACTCATCTCATACAATTTCTATCATTTTTTTTCTTAACTTATTTGTCATCGATTAGTTATGTCTGGAAAGAAAAAAAGTCAAGGAACGTTATTGCTACATTATTATGCCCCATCCTTTACAAGGCTCTTCAATAAATTATCATTGGCTAGGATGCTTTCCTAAGAATTCTTCATAAAAAATATTGGCACATATATAGAAATAACAAGACCAAAAGGCAATAATATGTGGAATAAATTTTTGCACCATTATAAGTAATATAGTACTTGGTGTGGTAGCATGAAAGAAAACAGCAGATATACTTGCCTCACTGTCTAACGTTATGAATACCTTAGTTACCTTGTGGCTGTCATGGACCTATTTTGAACACTTATCACATGACAAAGAATGTAAGAACAGTTAAAGCTCTCTTAGAGACACTCTCCTAAGCAGAAAAAGCGACTAATGGCCACCTTGATAAAACCCTGTTTGACCGTCTGCATACAAAAACTATTTTACCTCAGCAGCCAGCTCCAGACACCTTTATCTGCTTTTAAAGACTGCCTGCCTAGGGGAGCTTTGACTGCAACAAAAAAGCTAGTACAAAATTTAGAAAACAAAAGCAAGAAAATCTCCTCTTATCTACAGACATGAACCTCGAGTTATAAAATTATCCATTTTGCACAGATCACAATGTTCAGGTGAGACAAAAAAAAACCCTCATTTATTAATATAAACACCAATGAAATACCAGGTGAACTTTTGTCCAAACACATAATAATTATCTGCACACGTGAAAATAACATGTTATCTTCACATGTCCATAGATCATCACTGCTATGATAGCTAAACGATAAATCGCGCCTTTCACAGCAAAAAAGTATTTAAGTGAAATGATTTGGTATTTCATTTGGGTGTTTATTTAATAAAATATAGAACATTACATGGCTGCTTGGAGATAAAAAAATATTTCTCTTCTTGGGTTGAAAAATGTTTCACCCCTTCACTTAAGAGAAATGTTGTATCTCTATGTGGCCATGTTTTATATTAAAAACAGTTTTGGGGTGCTTAAATGGTGCAATCGACACGACCCCTGCCAGAAAAAACAAGAGATTTCAGGTCTTCGTCGGGAGACCGTGAGAAAAGACAAAAACCGGAAGTCTCCCTGGAAACCAGGAGGGTTGGCAGGTCTGAATTTGTATGTGGATATTGGTGCTTAAAGAGTTCATTCACAATTCCTTAAATGATCACAATGAAACACTGATATTTACTGACTGAAAACTTACTCAAACTCTTGCTAGCCCACTGACATGATGGTCATAGAGATAACAACAGTCGTAGGTAAAATAAACAGGACTAGAGTAATGGTCATAAGCAATGGCTTGAATTTGGAGGCCTGTTCTGCTGTAGCCTGAGAAAACAGCTGACATTTCATGACACCACAAACAGTTTCCCTACGAAATGACGTCTGAGAAACAAGTGCAGAAATTCCATACTGAGGAAGCGTCACTACCCGGATCAAAGTATAAAGTGCTTCTGATTGGCTGAAGCAAATTTCCTATGTGGCATGACCAATCAGAAGCAACTACTCAGATCTGCATAGTGACTTGTCATCAGTATGGAATTTCTGCGCTTGTTTCTCAGATGTCATTTCATGAGGAAACGGTAAATGGTTTGTGGCATCAAGAAATGTAAGCTGTTTTCTGAGGCTAATCCTGCTGCATCCTATAAAATGTACTATGCCCACTCAAAGATGTTTGGATGCCACACACTGCATACACTCAAAAATAATATTATGGTAGACTCTTTCCTCCAGAAATCTTGTCATTTTTAATATTAAAAAAATTTGTTAAAATTCTGTTATAAAAACTTTTTCATTTGAATCACTAGAGTAAGACAGTACCGGAAAAAAATGGGGTTCAGAGGTTGACTCTGAGAAGGCTTCACACTTCCTTCTCCTCTTAAACTCTTCACAAATTTATTTGGCATTTATTTTTTGCAATAACTTATTGTTTTTCTTTTTAAAAGTTTGTTGAAGCATTTAAATATTAAATAAGTGACTTTCATTTGCAGGTCATACCTGCCATTTGCGTGTGAGGAAAAAGACCTTAAGCAACGTCGGTTAATCTCAAACTAGGTTCTCCTTTACTCCACAAAAAAGTAAAACGAGAATCTAGCAATTGATTAAAATTTACTTCAGGATATTTTCCAGGCATTATGTCACATAATTTTTCGGTGACAAACATTTGAACTGGCAAAGTTAAACCACAGTTTCCAATACACTAGATACAAACATCTATCAGTGACCAGCCATAAGTTAGGGGCTTATTTGAAAAAATTAAGTTACACACCCTTCTCTTCTCAATTCCCACCTCCCCACTCTACATGAATACCCTCATGTGAAGATTGCTCCCACTGGACAAAAGGAAGACTTGGTGTGTGGCACTTGTGGCACAACTAGTTCCTTAAACACAGAGTACATCCCACTCTGGTTACCTGTTGATTGAGTTTTCAATCTTTTTGATAGTCATTTTGTCCAGAGCACACAAGTCAAAATCCAGCGTTTTGTCTGTGAGTTCAAAGCGACCTGTTGCTTCTAAAATGTCCGCTACTCTTTGAAGCACATTTGAGTCTTTCAGTGTAGTAAGACGTCTGTAAAGTTGAATGAGTTCTGTTGATGGATTCTGCTGTCCATTGCTGCCTTGTTTAGTCTCTTTAAGCTTTGGTTTGGGGCTGAAATTGAATTATAAAAACATGTTCATTAGAAAGAAAAATGATAGCCAATGCCAAACTTTTGACTTTCCATGATTCAAATGACCTGAAGCTTGCTGTCACTGGGGTTGAAGTGGTGCACAGTTTTCTTGGAGGCTAGAAGAGCAATAGTTCCACTACTTAGCAAAAGAGAATGCATACCAAAAACCATACACCCATGTAGTTACAACAGGTCTACACTAGTTTTCAACATCACAACTTTCTCGAATTTCAAATCTTCACATTTATAGTTTTGCAGGGTGGCCATGATTTTCTAAATTTTAAGAAAATCTCTTAAATAGCATCACATGCAGCCTTTGTACATCCTTCTCTGCACCACCCCAACAAAAAGAACAAATTCACCATTTTGGGGGGGAGGACAGACAGATGTAGACAGGCTACAGCACACAGGGTCTTCGCTCAGTAAGGGAAAAAAACTAAGTAAATGCATGTGCAAAATGATGAGTTTAATACCCAACAATATGTCAAATTTATACTGATGCTAAATGCAGAGTGTAGAATGAGAAAAAAATCATGCATACAATGGCAATTGTGAATTGTTTGTTCGTCACGTTACTGATCTTTGCTTTCTTTTTCACATATGTTAAAACCGTAATTTTGCATTTTCTTTCTTTTAACCTTTCCTATATTACTTACTTTCTAAAATTTAATTCTTTGTTTTGTAATTTTGTCAGTAATTTTCATGCGTATTAAACTTGTGCACCTACTTAAGTTGTTTAGATAGAGCGAAGGTCCCCTAAAAGTAACAAAAGACTTCTTAACAGCCCTTTCCAACATTCCACTCCACTTAGCACACATAAAGAAACAAGGTCCAGACTTGGGGGGACAGTTTCATACGAATTACTGTATTTTGTCAACCCAAGTCTTGAGTTGGTGCCTTTGTTCACAGGAATGCAGGAAAGGTCTATAAGAAAACACTCCAAGGATTAAGTAGAGAGCAAAAATGAATTTCACCTTTGTTTAACAGATGGTGGCTTGGTGGTAGGGCTTTTCAACCCATTTTTTCTCCCATTTTTGGAAGTCTCTGATTTCTTTGTCTGTGTACTGCCTTTCACCTTGACTTTACTACTGTCTTTACTGTCTTTACTCTGTGATGAATCATTTGGAGAAATAACTGAAGCACTTTTTTGTTTCAGTGTCTTTGCAGTGTGAGTTGAGCTGGACTGAAATGGGGTAAAAATATCACCCTCATCATCGTCGTCATCATCATCATCATCTCCTATTTCCGCTAATAGTGTATTCAGTGCAGTGTTTTTGTTGCCACTAGCGTTCCCTAACAAACTTGAACTAGAAGTGCTACTTGACCAGCTATCACCAGAACTACGGCGAAAAGTAATCTTTTCTACTTTCTTCTCCTCCTGTTTAACCTGTTTCAAATCTTCCTTGGGTGATTTTAGCTTGGCTTTCTTGGTTGATGTTGAGTCTGCAGTCTTTAAAAGTTTATTTGCACTTTCACCGGTGCCAACCTCTGATGAGGACCGTCTGTTTTTCTTTTTGTCATTCCCAGCACTTTTCGAAGGCAATGATTTAATTTTTAACTTGACATCTTTCATCTCCTCTAGTTTGTCTTTGTTTTCATTCCCGGGCACTGGTAGCTCTAAAGGAATAAAACCAACAGGTTTGCTCTTTGCGGTTCCTTCATCTGTTTTCTTTTTCTTCTTTTTCACCGTAGGCTGTGACGGAAGATCATCTGCACCAGATGTACTAGAAGATCTTTTTAGTCCTGGTGTAGTAACAGTTTCTTGCATTTTAACAGTCTTGTTACCTACTGTAACTCCATCATGCCTTTGTTTTTTAACCTTGTCAGGCTCTTGCAAAGAAGTTGCATGTTTTTGTGTATTATTTGTATCACTGATGTTGTTTGTTTCCTTGCCAGCATTTGTGTCCATGCTTTGTGGATGTGAGGTCCCTTTTCCTGGGGAGGAGGCGCTAAAGGAACAACAAAAAATCATCAATTTATTGAAATTTTGAAAACACGCTTAAAGAGGTTATGTCATGCTACTTGCCATCTTTTTGAAAAGCTAAAATATGTCTTCACATCAACCGACTTCTAAACATAATGGTCCAGTTTTGTTATTGAAGACCATAGGTTTTGAAAATGTTTCCAGTAGACTGTTTTAACCCTTTAAGTCCCAATATCCACATACAAATTCTCCAAACTGATCTTGATATATTTCCTTAAAGAATGAGTTGAGAGATTTTGATAAAAGATCAAAGCATTTTCTCTTAGGTGATCATTTTATTACTTCTCATAACCTTATCTCTTGACTTTGTATGGATATTGTTAGGAGAAAATTAATGTTGGTCACTATTGGGACTTAAAGGGTTAAGGATGGCAAGGATGGACATGGATTGAAGCTTAAAAAGTTGGCCCAAATTTTATGCCTGAAAAAATCACCAAAAAATTATTATGGTTAGTGCTATCAGATGAAATCTGTTTGATATCTTCTTCAAATCTCTAACAGAGCATTATTTTTGTAGGTGGGTTAAGGCACTAAGAAATGACTTCAGCACAGAATTGACCTAAAACAGTAATATCCTCTTGACTCTAAGTCTTTTAAAATGTTGCACCTGCCATGAATATAATCAAGCCTTGTGCAAGATATTTCCCCATGCTCCTGTTTGCACACATTTGTCATTAAAATGTGGTAAAAACAAACAGAAAATGGCCCACTAGCAATTACACCCATGTGTTGTCAAAGTAAGCGACCCATCCAGGGATATTTTATTTAAAAAACGTCACCCACAAAGAAATGCCAAGCAGAGTAGCCGGCCAATACTAATCAAGTAGGCGGCGATTTTTGCCAGCAGCTGGCTACTTTGGACAACCCTGTACACCAACTTTCCTTTGAACAGCTAAATATAAGAAAGGGTTCTTTTTAAATAACTTTTCCAAAAACTTCTCCACTCCATAATTTCCCTTTTTGGTGCCTTCACTTGCTCAATCTAGAATTATCTTGTCCCAATTGAACCAAATCTTCATCAAGGTTGCTTAAGCTCCTGACTATAAAGTTCCTTGCGAGTACCTGTGAAGTCCATTGACTGTTCCCATGCAGGAAACAATACCTCCTCCTTTAACAAGTTTTTTCTTAAACTCCTCTGTGGGGTTCCTAAATGTGAGTGCCTCGCTGCGAATATTATCAATTGGCGGAGAACCATACACAGGCAAAAACAGGTCATAGTCAAATTTCAGTTTCCTTGGCTCCTCTTTGTTTTTAAAATAGACTTCAATTGGAAGATAAAAACTTCCATATCCTGCTTCTGCTACTCTGTATGGGGGCTCCTTCAAAACTGCAAAAACGACAACATTTTCACGTCAGCAGAGTCATTACTAGTTTGAACAGGGAGGGATAAAAATAACACATCCAGAGATAACTGGTTTCCAGGAGTGTAGAGAAAATGGCATTTCTGAAACTCATGACTTAGAAAAACTGAAGGATACCATTAATGAAACTAAAAGTTACACTTTCGTTGAAACTGAATTGATAAAGAGTAACAGTTTAAAATCTGCTGTGGTTCACTTTTATCCTTGGTTCAACAATTTTATTTCCTTGTTTTTGGGTATGGTAATTTCTGATGTTAAGTCTGGAACAAAGAAAAGTAAAATTTAAACCAAGCATACAATTAGAGCATCACTCCAACAATTGTACTTCTAGCACTTCCAGACTTGTTTACTTCTAGGGTAAGCAACTGAAGCAAAAGCCCTCTTCCAACTGCTTCCTCCCACCATTGTTTACAAGGCATTTTCAGTTTACTTGCATTTTTATTCTTACTGTTTGATTTTAAACAAAATTCTAAAATTTCTGGGAGCAATGTATACAGCCACTGTTACACTTGAAGGTCACATTTCTAACCAGATTATTGCTTATATAATAAATATTATACTCTAATTAAAAAGACAGCTATGCAGTTGCTGAATTTGTTTAGTCGAACACCAAGCAATAGTACATCCTTAATTTGCATAACATCACAACTCATTACCATTTGCGTATTAACTTTTTTGACACTTGGACTTACTGGCTCAATAACATATTACAGGGTTCATACAAAAAAATTTCAACCGTTTTTTAAGGACTTTTCAAGGACCACCTACTAGGAATATGATTTCACAGATTCTAATAAAAATGCACATTCCCAGTCTATTCTAATAAGGCCTTGAGGCTTGAATTGTTTGCTTCAGCAACTTCTCTACATTTTTCAGTTCACTTGTCTTAAATTGATGGTTAATTATTGCATAAAACATTGAGCACTTTCTGTAAATAACCTTTAAATTCTCTTTGCTATGATTCATATTCTGTCTTGGACAACCAAAAAGCATCAAAAAACACTTCACAGGCCACTACATTCAAAACCGAAGAACATTCAAGGAATTTTCAAGGACTTGCATAAAAATTTAAGGATTTTCAAGAAAAAATGGAATTCAAGGACTTCCCCTAAAATTCAAGGGCTTTTCAAGACTGTGTGAGCCCTGTATTAGCCTGCATGACAGATGTAATCTAACCCAGGCTAGAAACTTCTGCAAAGCAGTGCTGCGATCCTTGCTCTAAATAAATAAATAAATAAATAATGATTTGGAGGTAGCACATCCACAAACTGTTTCTTCGTCCACCTGATTCCTGGTTGAATTGGAATTTGGAAATGCTGGTTTTTGAGGAGGGGGAAAAACCAGAGTACCTGGAGAAAAACCTCTTGGAGTAAAGGAGAGAACCAACAACAAACTTAACCCACATATGTCGTCAATGCCGGGATTTGAACCGGGCCAGATTGGTGGGAGGCGAGCGCTCTCACCACTGCGCCATCCCTTGCTCCTCAACAGACTGCTCTAGCCCCCCAACAGACTCAACAAATTACTGGAAGTGTGTTTTGAAATTCCCTTCAACCTGACTGGCAAATCAACCATAACTTTTTTAATAGGCCAACCATGAGGTGCACTCAAATCCTGGAACACAGCTGGGGGCCCAGACTGAGATTTCAGCATTGGCACGCAGACGGACTTAACCAGAGGTTAGTTTCACCTGCGGCCTTGGCTATAAAGCATCTTTTGAATTCATAGATTTTAAAGCATAAAAAGAGTACCGAGAAAAAACTTCAATTATCCACTTGTAAATTAAAAAGTACACTTCAACCTTGCATGGAGACACAGATGACATTTATTTCTGGACAATATTGTGGAGATCCATCAATCCTCAAAGAATCAAGGTATACCATTGTTTTACTACTGTTTACAAAGAATGGAAGGATCAACGAAAGGATCAAATTATTGAACAACGAAGAAGTGACAATTCACCCCACCATTTCCGAAACTGGAATAAGGCTATTCACATTAAAAATTATGTAGGAGGAGGTTCCACATGGCAAGATTCTCACAACACTTGGAGCAAATGCATTCTGTCAAAAATTATCCATTTATCACAGACATAGCCTTTAGTACAGCTGCCCCCTCTCCTTAAACAAAACCAGGGCTCAAGAAAAGTGCCATCTGGTAGTCCGGGACTTATTAATCTTGGTAATAGGACTGAGCAGAGTCCAATTCCATCAATAATCATAGGAGTGATAAACAAAATCGGACAACTTGTCGAACGATTTGTTTAATCACGAGTATGATTACAAAACGAATTGGATGACATGAAGTTCTGTCACCAATTAATCATAACTATAACAAAATTTGTGATATATAAAGCTTTTTAAAATCGAAACACAAGAAATTCCAAGAGTTTTTGCCAGCAGTGAAAAAAAGAGCCCATTTAAACACACACATGATAGTGCATACTGTCCAGTTACTTAGGCATGACGTGTACTGTCCTATTACACTGTCCTATTAGGATGAAATCAGGACAGTTTGATTGCCAGTCAGATTTGAGAATTTTGTCATAGTTATGATTAGTAGATTTTCTTGCTGGGCAAGTAACTTTTAAAGCTTACCTGCCCAATGAGCAAGGGTTCAGGTAAGTCATCCTCCAACTAAATCATAAACTACAGATTAAGACAAGCAAGTACATTGCTCTGCAGGGCAAGTAAAATTTCACTGAGAGCTGCTTGCCCACAGAACAACCTGAAATTCAAGTATTTTTCGAGCCAGGAGTGATTACTTGAAAAGAGGGTTGGCTTTATCTATCACTTAGGTGACGGTTACAAGGCTAAGTTATACTAATTTAAGTTGATTTAAAGAACAACGAGATTTTGACTATGCAAAAAACGGCAACACAAGTAAATTTTTTCATACATACTAGGCCTATTTAAATTTTGTATACAAAGAATATTTATAATAACAGTTGGCAAATACAGAATAGGCTTTTCAAACCAGTACAGACAGGTAGCACAATCATGATCAACAGAACAGAATAATTAATTGTGGCAGTTGCATCGTGATATTTTCCTAAAGGACTGTTTAGAGATTTTGTTTCAATGGTTTTAGATATTTTATTTGCTTTTAAAAATGGACATCAACACATCATGAAAAAAGAGTCAAACGTACTAATTATACTAGTCTCATTGATCTATTTTACGGGAAATATTACTCCCCAAAAGATGTAACTTATTAAACAAACATCTACACAAGTAATTCACAATGTAATTTGCATGATAAATCGATCGCGATCTCGCTACCAAATGGATGTCTGTTGCAAAAAGCCAAGTTTTCTTCATGAAGATTACAAAATGTAGTGAATTTAGATTGAGAAGAAGTAAGGCTGATATTTCAGTGCTATGATATACAGGAAGGTTAAATGTATTAACGGTCACTTATCTCAGAAGGGCTTATCTTGGAAAATAAAAACACGTTGCGACAATTGTCTACAGATGATGAGGAAATAATGCTACCACAAAAGTGAACTTCTAGCAAATCTGTAGTTCAAGAAACGTCTTTTGTGTTGTTTTCCACGTAGCGAAATAAAAAACAAAAACCTTTCTGAGCGAATATTATAATAAAAGCACTCTGTTGTCAGTGTTTTATGTAGACAAGAAAAGGGATAGAGGCCTAAGCTTAAGATTTTGTATTATGATCGAAGCACAGTGAGTGTTTCTATAACAAACATAATGTACTTTTCTCAACTTCGCGGAATTTTAAGTGTCTAACTCACAGAAAATAAGAAGATCAAAATGAACGTGACCTTTTGGTGAAATGCAAATTATATCAAATGTTGGAACGATTTTCCTCCCCGTCAAAATGGCAAGTCAAGAAATAAACCATCAACGTAAAACGCTGTGAAGTAGCTCTTAATGTTTTTTAGTTAGAGGAAAATTGGCCATTAAAGTGATCGACTGTGGTTAGAATGATATGGGAAACAAAGGAAATCTGTCGAATCACACCATAATAGTTCTACAAGTACATGAAAAATCTGAAAATCGGATTTATGTCGAAATGCTATCTATGTGTACCCGCTCCGACGAGAATTTGATTTTACGCACGAGGGGAAGCAAATATTTTGGCTCTTACCTCGTTTTGGCTTGGCAAAACTCTCATGTAAGTAGAAGACGACCTTCTCCACAAAGTGGGAAATATCACAGCTCTCCGGCCCTCGCACAAAAACAGTCCAGTCGTGTGTAAAGCCTTCAGGACTCAACGTTTTTTTACAAGAAGCCTTGTGCCCAAGTTCAATCTTAACTTCAACCTGCACGCTCTCCATTTTAGAGGCTATGCACCGAACACGTAAAATCTCAACACAATGGCAGCAATTTACGAGCTAGTGTGACGCCTTGAACGTCTGCACAGATCTAATTCATCGCGGAAACATCACTTAAAATTCCATGGATCTAAAAAACATTCGCAGCCACTGGAAGGTTGCAAATTGTCTGATCAATGACAGTTTCTAATGCGCTTGCGTCCCAGTCTCACTCCAAATATGGTTCTGTTCCAAAAAGTTACAAAGGGGGTACAGGACAGGGTTTCAGTCGTACCCATAATTTTGTTGTGAACCGAAATTGGAAAATTTCATTTATTTATCTCCCAAGCTCACACACACAAGTGTTATTTTACTCTGAAGTAAACGCCAAATTGACCAAATTAAATTCCAGCTGGGTTACCAAATTTTGCTTCTACACCATTTAAAAAAAATTCTAACTTTAGAAGGCTCCTTTGCCCTTTTCCTTTGCCAGTAAAAACCTCTCATCAACTGCAGAATTGTCACTCCTAGACATGGCTGTCAACCCTCTATGTCATCAAATATTAATAATTGATAGGGAAGGGATGATAGTTGACATCAGATATATATCGCGTGTCATTTGTGCAAAAAATGCTTGTTGACTCCAATTATTGATGTATATGCTACATAAACAGTTTATATTTAGCCATACTATTGCTTAAATTACAATGGCATACTGGAGTTTATGAGGAAATGTTCCATGTTAACAGTAAAACAGCTGAAACAATGCAAAATATTTGAAATTTTGTGGTTGGAAAGTCAAGTCTACAATCAGGAGGTATGGTCCAAAATCTGGAGTCCCCTGGATTATTCGGGAGAGTTGACGGCACTGCCTTGAGAACTGATATTCCTCCTTTGTACTAGCTAGCCTGTGTACGCAGGCTATGTACTAGCTCTCACTCCTTCCATCCCAATCCTTCACACTCAATTATTGGCCTAGTACCTCCATCCTTTTTGTCATGGACTTAAACTGGTTAAAAGTTGATTGGATTAAAGTAGTGTTTTGGGTGATCATGATAACAATATTTCTCATCTTCTTCTATTGTTTTTATAGCCCAGAAAGGCGTTTTTTCGTTCTAGAATATCATAAAAGACATTTTCCTGGCCTATATTGCCTAAAAAAAAAAAGTTGGAAAAATGGTCATTTTTGGACCAAAACCATGGGTTAACCCCTTAGGAAAAATGTCAATTTTTCTCCCTTATGACAATTTCATTGTTTGCAATTAGGTGCTGGGTGACTGGCTGGCTGGGATAAGAATTGAGTGGATTTTAAGAGAAAGTCTAGTTTGTTTGTTTTTTTGCACTATATGCTTGGCTTTCACAATCTGATATGTCAAATTTCCGGCAGTTTCATATGTAAAAGGAGAAATGAACAGAACTAAAAAAAATACCAGAGGGAATGGAAATGGAGAAAGAGGACAGAAAAAATATGGCCACTTATCAAAGTTGCCATATTTCCACTACTTGTTAATAACAGCCAAAAGAGGTCTTAACAGGTGAAGGGTGGCAAAAAACCTATCACACTGTCTTAATAACCTCCAAATTCAAGCCCTGAAAAAAGCAGGTACAGTTTGGAATGGTGGATTGTAGAAATAATTGCTACAATGGCATCAGTAGTGGAAATTTGGCTCTGGTAGTACTGCCATATATGGGCTGTATGGGTAAGTGCTGCAGAGAAAGGGTATGGTTTTCAAGCAGTTTAATCCATGTAGGGTATAGAAGGCATAAAGTTTGGGTCTAGAATATAATACTCAATAGGAAACCCCAGGGGAGGGACTCCGCATATAAAAGGGGTGCGGATGCTTGTTGTCTCGCTTAGGGGTGTAAATTTTGGATTTTGGTCTCTCTTAGGGTGTTCTGGGCAAAACGCCATCATATTCAGCCATGAAGGTGTCATTTAGGGACGCACGCAAAAAATATAAATATATATATATTGTCTGTGTTTCAACATGGTCTCTTTTAGGGGTCAAAAAAGGCTTGGGCTACGCCCAGATTGGTCTCCTTTAGGGGTCTAATTCAAAATTTCCGAAGAGCATCCACACCCCTTTCATATGAGGAGTCCCCCCTCCCCCCCACCTGGTAGGAAACTGATCAACTGGTTAAAAAAAATAATAGTTTTAAATAAAGAAACTGGAAATTGACACTTACAAAAATGAAACCACAAATTTGAATTTAACTCAAAAGTCAGTTAAGTGAAAAGGTGTCATACTTGAGCTCTATCATCTCTAAAGAGTGATTTATTTTAAGGATAAAATAAAAGTCATGCTATACAAGTTTAGCCTCTTTTAGGGCTTTGATTTTTATTTTCTGTAATACACTTCCATCCCTTTCAGAATGCTTTGCCTCCCTGGTTGCATTTACTTCATAAAAATTGCCAAATCATATACACTTCCACTCTTGGACTTAGACTGCAAAACAGTCGGTTTTTTTCTCAAAATCAGTAAAGAAATCGGTAAAGCGTGGCGCGAATTGCGTGAGTCGAGGCGAGAGTATTTTTAGCGTCTCTCCCCAGTCTCACTCTCTGTTTTCAGCCTTGTTCCAGACCTTTTGTTTGACTGCTCGCGCGTGCTTGAATACGCAAAAATACAGACTGTTTTGCAGTCTATCTTAGACTTGGCTGACTCCATCTTTCAAACCTTTTACACTTTGGCAGTTTTACGTTTTTTCCTCACTTCAATGACTTTTTGCAAACTATTTTCCTCTACATCTCTGTAAACTTGCTTTTGTCCAATGATAAAGATGTGTAAGCGCTCCAAATTTCTTGGCAACAAGTCCAGTTTATTGTCTCGTAAGTCAACATGACTCAAATTAGGCAAACTGTCAACTGAATTACTGCTCAAAGATTGAATTAAGTTTGACTGTAGACTCAGAAATTCAAGTTTGTTTAAGCCACGCAAAGCTTCAGGGAATTTACCAAATTGATTCTCTGAAAGATCTAAGTGCATCAAGTTTATGAGGCGATGAAAATTATCTGGTAAAGATGAAAGTTGATTATTGGCTAAGCTTAGCCATTTGAGAGCTGTCAACCTTGCAAAGTTTTCAGGCAAAGATTTGATGTTATTACATCCTGCACCGAGTTTCTCCAAATGGGGAAGGTTACAAATTTCCGGAGGCAACGACATGAGCTGAATATTGACGATCCAAAGTTCTTTGAGAAACACTAAATCACCAATTTCGGATGGTAAGAATCCTAGATTGTTGTGACTCAAGCATAAAATCCTCAAGTTTGCTAGCTGCCGAAATCCAGAAGGTATTAACGTCAGCTGGTTGTGATCAAGCGACAAAACTTGTAGATTTTTCAATGTTACAAGTTCCATTGGAGGCATGATGATCCTGTTGTCATTCAACAACAACGTTCTCACTTTAGCAAGCTTCTTCAGCGAGTCTGGGAGAACCGTTAGATCACGATGACTTAGATTTAAAACCGTCCACTTGGAGTTTATAGCACTCACTAACAATTTATCCACCTCTTTTTGAGTTGTTTGGTACATTTAGTAAACCACCAACGATTCCAAGATCTTCCAAGATCGAAAGAAAATTTCAAAACAAAAAAGTTTTCCACCAAGGAGCAATCATGCGCATTCCAACTTTAGTGTCAGTGATAGTTATTGCAGGCTCAATATTTGAACTTAAAATGGCGGCGGGAGAGCGGCGCCACTGGGAGATAAAGAAAATTCCTTTCTCTGGAAATAGTACAAGCGTAAATATCGTTTGATGGAACCTGTCAGAAGGAAAAAGAGGTAAAGAAAATCTATCCATTCATATAATTTAGCTTAAGTTCTTCTTTGAAGAAGTCCTTCGTTCTTTCCTCTTCTGTCCTTCTGAATTTAATGGTTAATGCGGAAACTAAGGGGACATGCCATATTGTCCGTATTATCCGGGTTTCCGTGTTAAGCGGGTCTTCGAAAAAACGTCACGAACACAAGATTTATCAATATTAGTCTTCAAACAGACAAAGAGGAAAAAGGGAAGGACCACAGACTGAGCATAATTAACCCCAAGGAAGTTAAACTTGTGTAGTAGGAGGCAACAAGGCTTTGTACGAGGGTCAAACACAGAAAGAAAGACGGGTGTTAAGCATGTCACGCTATTTTGATACTTTTTTTAGTGATAAAATCGTATTAACTTATGTAAATCTGTCATCTCTTTAACTGAGCACAATGTCTACAATAAGTACATGATTGTGACAAGGAAAATAGATAGTGTGCCGGTAACAGTGTCCGTAAAGTGGGGTTAACTATATATGAAAGTTTGTGACTTGAGACACAAAAAGTGCCCGTTGTCTGTATTCACTGGTGTACGTATTAAGCAAGTTAATTTTAGAGAAAATATATGAGCTTTTCATTAGAAAAAATGAAACTGTCCCTTATGCACCGGTGTACACGTGTCTGTAGTGAGCGGGTGACCATAGAGCAGGCTTCCACTGTATTGGGCTAGATTACAAAATACCTGCCATACCTGTCCACTTACATTTAAGTAATGGTCCATGTAAGAACTAGGCAAAAGAACAATAGGCCAGTGCAATAGCTCTGATTGGTCAATAGGCCGAAAAGCGCGAAATTTGAAGTTTAGAAAAGAATTAAGATAGCAAAAGAGTCATTCAAACAACTTTTTATTTTGTCTACTGCTTTGATATGTTGAAAAATATAACATATCTAAAATGTAGAGGATTTCTATGCGCCAAACCCGAGCAAAGTTAAACTGATATAAAATTACATGAAAATGGCATGGGAATACATCAATCGGCGACCTTGAAAAAATAGCTCATGTCAAAACTGATGTAATTCAAGCTCACTTGAATTTTTATGTTGCACCATAAAGAACAACAATTTCATAAAATCATGTCGGAGGGTTATCCTAATGGCCTGCATTTGAATAAAAAGACGATTGTCCATACAGAAAAAATTCATGGATGTTCGGAGAATTCGGTTTCAGAAGAAGTTTTCTTCGCAGTCTTACATAGTAGATATATTTTTAGTCTAAATATCTCCGCAAAACCTACTTTCATTCTTAGAAAAAGTAAAGGAAACAGTTACTGCCAAACTCGCATGATTTTTTGTACCGGGTAACACTCAAAACTAGTGAGAGCTACATTTCTATTATATATGATAATTAAGCGGCTGCCGTCTTACAACTGTTGCGAAATTATAA